AACTAAGTTACAAGCATACCTCAGAAGTATTGTGGACGCAGTTCCAGATCACCACAATAAAGAAATCATTGCAATAAGGTGAGTCACACTAATGACTTGGTTTCCTAATGCATATACAAGTTATATTTGCCCTAAACTGTTGCCTATTGAGTATGCAATAGCACTATGTATACAAATGTACATACTTTAATTTAAAAATACAATACTTTATTGCTAAAAATGCTAACGATTACCTGAGTCTTTAGTGAGTGGAAACCTTTTAACTGGTAGAGGGTTGTGCCTCGATGTTGATGGATGCTGACTGATCAGAGTGGTGGTTGCTGAAGGATAGGGTAGATGCAGATGCAGCTATTTTTAAAATAAGACAACTGTGGGCCAGGCACGGTGGCTCATGCCCTGTAATCCCAGCACTTTGGGAGGCTGAGGTGGGCGGATCACAAGGTCAGGAGTTGGAGACCATCCTGGCCAACATGGTGAAATCCTGTCTCTACTAAAAATACAAAAATTAGCTGGGCGTGGTGGTGCACACATGTAGTCCCAGCTACTTGGAAGGCGGAGGATGCAGTGAGCCAAGATTGCGCCACTGCACTCCAGTCTGGTGACAGAGCGAGATTCCATTTAAAAAAAAAAAAAGACAACAGTGAAGTTTGTGGCATCAATTCATTCTCCCTTTTATGAAATTTTTATCTGTAGCATGAAATCATGTTAAATAGCCTTTTACCCATAGTAAACTTCTTTCAAAATTGGAGTCAATCCTCTCAAATCCTGCTACTGCTGTAAAAACTAAGCTTATGCAGTGTTTGAAATCCTTTGTTATTATTTAAACAATGTTCACAGCATGTTCACCAGGAATAATATTTGTCTCAAGAAACCATTTTATTTGCTCATTCATAAGAAGCAGCTCCTCATCTGTTCAAGTTTCCTCGTGAGATTGCATCAATTCAGCCACATCTTCAGGCTTCACTTCCAGTTCTAATTCTCTTGCTATTTCCAGCACATCTGCCGTTACTTCTGCCATTGAAGTCTTGAACCCCTGAAAGTTATCCATGAGGGTTTGAGTCAACTTCTTCCAAGCACCTGTTAATGTTGATACTTTGACTCCTTCCATGAATCACAAATCTTCTCAATGACATCTAGAATAGTAAATCTTTTCCAGGTGATTTTCAATTTACTTTGCTCTGATATATCAAAAGAATCACTATCCGTGGCAGTGATAGCCTTATTAAATTTATTTCTTCAAGAATAAGACTTGAAAGTCAAAATTACTCCTTGATCCATTGGTTGCAGAAATGGAGGCTGTGTTAGCAGGAATGAAAACACTAATATCCTGGTACATCTTCATCGGAGCTCTAGGGTGAATAGAGGCATTGTCAATGAGCAGCAATATTTTGAGGAAAAAAAAACAAACTTTTTTTTCTGAGCTGTAGTTCTCAACAGTGAGCTTAAAATACTCAGTAAACAATGCTATAAACAAGTGTGCTATCATCCAGACTTTGTTGCTTTATTTATAGAGAATAGGCAGGGTATATTTAGGACAATTCTTAAGGTCTCTAGAGCTTTTGAAATGATGAATGACTATTGGCTTTAACTTAAAGTCACCAGTTGCATTAGCTCCTAACAATAGAGTCAGTTTGTCCTTTGAAGCTTTCAAGGCAGCCACTGACTTTTCCTCTCTAGCTATAAAAGTCCTATATGTCATCTTTCCAATACAAAGCTGTTTCACCTATACTAAAAATCTGTTGTTTAATGTAGCAACCTTCACTTATCTCAGCTTTATCTTCTGGATAACATTTTCCAGTTTCTAAATCAATATTTGCTGCTTCATCTTTCGTTTTTTTGTTAGAGAGATGGGTTCTTTCCTTAAACCTCTGGACCAACCTCTGCTGGCTTCCAATTTTTCTTCTACAACTTCCTCACCTCTCTCACTCATCGTAGAATTGAAAAGAGTTAGGGCTTTGCTCTGAATTAGGCTTTGGCTTAAGAGAATGTTGTAATTGGCTTGATCTTCTATCTAGACCTCTTAACTTTCTCCATATTAGTAATAAGGCTATCTTGCTTTCTTATTATTTGTGTGTTCACTGGAGCAGCACTTTTAATTTCCTTCTAGAATTTTTCCTTTACATTCACAACTTGGCTAGCTGTTTTATGTAATAAGTCTAGGCTTTGGCTTATCTTGGCTGTTGACATGTCTTCCTCACTAAACTTAATCATTTTTAACTTTTGATTTAAAGTGAGAGACATGCAACTCTTCCCCTCAACACTTACAGGCCTTTGTAGCATTATTACTTGACCTGTTTTTAATATTGTTAGTTCTCAGGGAATATAAGGAGGCTCAAGGAAAAGGTACCGAGATGACGGAACAGTCAGTGGGTGGAACAGTTAGAACAACACAGTATTTACTGATATTTATCAACAAAGTTAACCAGCTTATATGGGTATAGTTCACGGTGGGTCCCCAAAACAATTATAACAGTAACATCAAAGATCACCATAACAAGTAACAATAATGAAAAGTTTTGAAATAGTATGAGAATTACCAATATGTGACACAGAGGCATAAAGTAACCATAGGTTGTTGGAAAAAATGGCACTGATAGACTTGCTTGAAAGATGGTTGCCACAAATCTTCACTTTTAAAAAATGCAATATCTGCAAATAATACAAAGCTCAATAAAACAAGATATGCCTGTACTCGATGCTAATGATAGCGCCTATTTCATTGATCCATTGGTAATAATCAAAATAATTTATGTATAAGTTCTTGAAAATAGTACTTGGAATATAATTAACAATAAATAAAGGTACGATTAAAATCATCAAAAGTAATAAAGGGAACATATTAATCCTGCACTAGGAGAAGCCAATGGCTCCATACAATGAAATTTATCAGGGAATGTTCTATATTTGGGGAAAAGGAGTCTTTCTGAGCCTGATATTTAGTGCTGATAAAAGTTGAGAACAATTGGAAATTAATGACAACTTATGCTTCTGTTACCGTGTTCCTAACATTAGTCTCAATGTACATTTGGTATGCTTATGATTTCTTCCTCTGTTTCTCCTCAAGATAGAAGTGACCCTACTTCAAGGCTATGTGGGATTAAGTTATGTTAATTTTCAGATGTGAATCTCAGGTCATGTGAGCATCACATAAAATATTGAAGAATGGGGCCAGGCACAGTGGCTCATGCCTATAATCCCAGCACTTTGGGAGGCTGAGGCAGGTGGATCATCTGAGGTCAGGAGTTTGAGACCAGCCTGGCCAGCACAGCAAAACCCCATCTCTACTAAAAATACAAAAATTAGCTGGGTGTGGTGGCAGGTGCCTGTAATCCTAACTACTTGGGAAGCTGAGGCAGGAGAATTGCTTGAACCCAGGAGGCAGAGGTTGCAGTGAGCCAAGATAGGGCCACAGCACTCCCGCCTGGGCGACAAGAGTGAAACTCCATCTAAAAATATATATATGTGAATGGGCTGGATATTCTCTTCAATTGCCCCTGGGGATTATCTCACTTCCAACCTGTGTTTTGAGAGGCTGAGCTCAAATGAACACATTATCAGAGCACATAAACTTGGCCCCTGAATTGTAAATTCAGCCAATGGAAGGCACTGATGATCAGAGGTAGGGTATTAATTTGACGGGCTCTCTCCCTGCCATGTGTTGGTTTGGCAAAGGTACACGTTCTTTATATTAGTCCAGGGCCTTTGTCAGGCAGGTCATGCAGTTCCAATAAACATTTTCAGCTTAATTATTCAGGTGACCTGACAGCTTCCCAGTGCATATGTCACACCCCTTTTTGGTTCCCTTAACACTTCCCGAAACTTTATATACAGTCCTTTAATTAAATGCCCTTAGATTACCCCTTGAGTATGCCCTTTGTTTCTTTCTGGGGGCCTGATTGCTAGGGAAAAGACTGATGAATCCAGTGAGATACTGAAACAAAAGCAAACAGTGTAATTTTGCATAATGTTGGGACTCGTAGACTATGTTACTTAGACATAACCTTTGGCCATAAAGACAAGTGGTCAAACGATGAATGATGATTAAAAGTCTCAAATTTCTGATGCTATAGTCACAAGATGTGGCAGAAATGGCCATTTGTCCGCTAAATAGTTCATGCTTTCCTTCTAGAGTGAAGTGGTCATCAAGAGTTTGCTGTCCAGGCAAAAAATACATTTTGCAAGCTCAAACCTTGTGTCCAAAAGTGGGCATGCCTTTGGTGGATGTGAATGTGAGACATGCTATTCTAGGTTATGGCTTTCAAGAGCAGGTGTGGATTCATCACCTTCTCTTTTCTTTCCCAGTGGATGGAAGTCAAGGACTCCAATGTTTCACAAGATGAAAGAATCCCAAGTCTCATTTGGAGGAATGCTATCACTAACTAGGATTCCTGGAGCTAAAACATTATGTAAGATATAAACTTTTATTGTGTTAAGTTGCTGATATTTTGAGGTTTATTTATCACAGTAACTAGCATTACACCAACAAATATACAGTATGTAAATTTAGCTTAAGTTTGAAATCCCTTCCTAGCTTTGTTGTTTGAGGCTACCCAGTTATCTCCCACTCTTTACACCCTGGTTTGCCCAATGTGAGTTATCTTTATATCTTTACTATCTAGGTCACCCCTATGCTTCATCTCCTATACCAAATGCAAGTGCGTTCTTTGCACTTACATCTTTTTCTTCTGAACTCACTGCTATCACCTTCAACATCTGCTACATTTTGGAAACCATATAAAAAATGTTCTATCATTGGCCATTCTGAATTCAGTTCTCTCTCATTTCCTTTTTCACCAAGTTGTGTTTTGGCTTAGACTTGATAAACTTCCACTTTCTGAATGAAGGTGCATCTATTCTACTCCTTAAACACAAATATAGTTTCCCACTACTGTGAAAATGTAACCAATTTCAGTTCTTTCACCAACCTGCTCCAAACCACAAGAGGAGTTATTTGTTCCAGCCTCCTGTGTGGACTGCTTTCCTATCAAAGCACCTCAGACATGCATGAGGAAGAAATATACACCTCTCTTCAGTGGGATAGTCCAGCACCAAACACTTACCAGAAATGTCTGTCTTCCAACAAATGTTCAGGTAACCAGTTCTAGCTATTTTGTGCGAGACTTTAGGGTTCATGTTTTTTGTTCTTTGTGTTTTGTTTTGTTTTTTTCTGCTCTATCATGAGGCCAAGATGCTTATTCTAATCTGAGATAGTCTAGTTAAGGGTAATGTAATGTCCGTGAAATGCTAATGAAGTGGAGAAGGAGTAATTAAAGGTGAAAAATAAAAAGAGCAATTAACTTGATAAATACGTGGAACTGTTTTTTCCTCTGCCTCTCTGGAAAAGAAAAAGAATACCTTGATTTGGGAAATTTGTGAAAAAATACAACTCTAATTAACTGAAGTCCTATTAAAACATTCTGCAAATTATCTGATAAATACTAATAAATAAAAAGAGAAAACATAGGTTGAAAAACTGGCAGGATCTCATTGGCCTAGAGTTGTTGGCTACAGTGATTAGTTCTGTCTGCATCATTTAATATCTATATTAGTTCCTGTCTGCTGGTGTAACCAATCACACAGACTTAGGGGATTAATAGAAGGTAAATTTATTATCTTAGGGCTCTAGATGTCACAAGTTGAAATGGATTTCAACGGGCTGAAACCAAGGTGTTGACAGGAATCTAGTGGAAGAATCTATACCTTGTCTTTTCTGGTTTCTAGAGCTGCATTTATTGCTTTACTTGGCTCATGGACCCTTTTTCTGTCTTGAAAACCAACAACATAATGTCTTTAAATGTTTCTCAGCCTCCATTATCACGCCATGCTGTCCCTCCAATATCCTACCTCTCGCTTAAAGAGGACCCAGATAATTCAGGTTAATCTTCCCATCCCAAATCCTTAACTTAATGACATCTTCAAAGTCCCTTTTCCACATAAGGTAACTTACAAGTTCCAGTAATTATGACACTGGCATGTGAGGCAGGGGCGTTTCTCTGCCTATCACAATATCCAAAGATAAATTTTAACTATTTTTCTCTGATTAGTGTTTGAATACAAAAAAATCACATAATCCTTTTTTTCCTCTCTGCAGGTTTGTAAAATTACCTTGGAAAACTTGTTCGTCTTCCAAAAATGTATATTTAAAAGTATATATTTAAAATGTGTATCTTTCTTTTATTTAATCATGTTCAAGTAACACTGAAGAGATGGGGAGATGTGAGACAGCATTTTTTATCTCAAAAGATAAAGCTAGCATTTGGCTTGGGGGAATCTCTAAAATATGGTTGGAAAAGAATACATATAATTCGTTGATAAGGTGTGACATCAAAGATAAGGATAACAGAAGTATACTATTAAATCTATTTAATTTGGCAATTTCCATATCACATGTATTCCAAGTTATGAGTTGTATTTCAATGCATTTGAGCAAAGGTTCTCTTTTTCCTTTTCTTTTACACATTCCAGGCCCCAACAACTCTCAGTAGAAATGCCAATGTTAATTTCTTTTTTTACTCAATCTCAATCCATCCTTGCCCCATCTTTTTTATCTACTTTCTCTAACTTGGTTTCATTTTTCCTATTCCATGGTTAGGAGCATGGTGTCTTGTGACGGTGATTTCCTGTATTTTCTGCATGGGGTTATTAACAGCATCCGTTTTCTTGGGCGTCAAGTGTAAGTACAAAAATATATTTTCAAAATAACCTATATTGATATATGTATTATACACTACAAATAGCTTATATATAATGATATATGTAGGTAATTATGTATAGAACTTCATAATTTATAAATGGATGGAAAATCAATCAAGTAATATGTGAATGCACATAAATGATGTAAAATAATAGCCTCAAATTTCAAGCATTTGATAGAACTCTCTGAGCACTTGGATGCCACTGATAACTTTCAGTGATCTATTGCACGTTTTTTAACTCAAATTATATGCTGTAGGTCTCTGGGAGAAACAATGAAAATAATAACGTATTCTAATTCAATTTGTGAGTCATGCTAACGTGCTAAAGCATTCAATTTGAAAGATTTCACATTCTGCTTTTCTGTTTCTAATACATATTTAATTTAAATTTGACTTTTAAAGATTATTTATATTAGGCAAGTTTCAATTTAAAATGTTTAATGCAAACCCGAGAGCTTTGTTGGCCACATTTAACCACATTGCTTTTTAGTCCAAATAGAAGAAATGTTTTCATGTTTGACAAGTGCAATTTTTATAAAATTTAATAATTACAGAGCTTCAGTTTCCAGAAAAAGAACTATGAACCTCTAACATCACTCATGCTAGTACTAAGAAAAATGTACATTAAAAGACAGAGGTGAAGGGTATTGTTTGGATAGATGTTTCTTTCTTATATGCCTTGGCAAATCATATCTCTATCTAAAAGACATCAGCCGGAGAGGAAGAATTATGAACTCTGAGAATAAGGAAGGGAAAGGTTCAGATTCGCATTCACAAAATATGGGAAGTTTGATCTTGCTCAGGTAATGTCATGAGCTTCATTTTCTGCTGGTTTTTACAGGAAGGTTTTAAGAATTGCTAAGAGCTTAATCAGTAATTGTTACTTTGTCTATCTCCTCAAATAAAGTTTCACAGCTTAACAAAAATGTTAGAACTTCAAGACAGCTTTCTTTTTCTCTATCTACTCTCTTTGTGTCTTATTAAAAAATACATATTTTAGGCAAATGTGAGTTCATTATTTTTTAAGAAGCATACATATTAAATACCTGTTTATCAAACACAATAGAAACAATTTATATCTAAAAGACCAGTTAAGTCAATTAACATCTAATAATCCACTTCTGCAAAAATTGAGGACTTTTAATGACACATTGCCAAGCTTCATTGTACCTCTACAATATAAAAATTCATATTTAAATTGCATTGCAAATATTTTAAAGTGCTGTTTAAATGTTAATTCTATATAATGAATTTCAATGTTATTTTACAAATAATTATTTGGGGTAAGAAGATTTTGAAACCTAAAGTATAAAATCATTTCCAATTAAAAACAAAAATTAATTGAAGATGCAACATCTTGAAGCAATGTTGTCAAGTGAATGGGATATATAATTTGGTTTTTATATAAACATAAATCTATAGTCTCCAATTGCCAAATATTTTTTCTACTATATAGACAAAAATCATATATTACATAATAAGGATGATTATAAGAGTACACTTTAGGCCAGGCGTGGTGGCTCACGCCTGTAATCCCAGCACTTTGGGAGGCTGACGCGGGTGGATTGCCTGAGGTCAGAAGTTCGAGACCAGTCTGGCCAACATGGTGAAATCCCATCTCTACTAAAAATACAAAAAAATTAGCCAGGAGTGGTGGCATGCGCCTGTAATCCCAGCTACTCCAGAGGCTGAGGCAGGGGAATTGCTTAAACCAGGGAGGTGGAGGCTGCCGTGAGCCAATATCGCAGCACTGCACTCCAGCCTGGGCAACAGAGAGAGATTCTGTCTCAAAAAAAAAAAAAAAAAAAATACACTCTACATTTTCCATGTTGTCAAAAGATTTGCTGTTCAGTGTATACGTAAGTGTCTTCTCGGTCTAGTAAAGGAAATCTCTTTATATAAAACCTATAAATCATGTTCTTAAGATGGTGAGTTATTTTAAACTGTCTTAATTGTGACCCAGCAGTACCACTTTTGGAAATTGTTCCTATGGATAAACCTGCAATCTAACAATAGGGGAAAAGCCTCAAATACCCACCACATTGATAAGAGACCATGTTAATAAATAAGGGTACATCATCTACACAACAGAATACCTGGAAGCAAGAACAACAAAAGAAAGAAGAAACACTTCTGTATGTAAAGCGCAAAAAAACGGCATTTAAAACTTGGCTGATGAGATCAGTTGTACCCAAACATCAGCATCATGCAATATACCTGAGTAACAAACCTGCACATGTACCCCCTGAATCTAAATAAAAGCTGAAATTATTTTTTAAATGTATATGCTATGTTACAATTTGACTAAAAATGAACATTTTCTTGAATTTAAACCAACAACGGAAGGTTATATAAGAAATACTAAAAGTGAGGGCAAGAGGAGTGAGATAAATCGTGACGATGCAGAGAAAAAGATATTTCAATGTTTACTGTTTGGATTTTTTAAAATGTTTTAATCCTATGAAAGAAGTGTATCTTTAAAAAAAGTTAACTCCCCAAACACAAATTGTATGAAGAAAATGTTACTTTGATGAGGATAAAAGAAACATAGCTAGAAAACCATGTGCTTAAGACTTCCAGTAATTTCTAGAAAATTCTTACAAATAAAAGTTTTTGCTTTTTAAATTTTGTCTTAATAGCTAAAAATGTATACTTACAAAACTTAAATATCACTATACAGATGTAAAGTATATTTTCCTTTAGCTTTTGTTCAAGTGCAGTGACTATGAATTTTTTTGTTGTTTTTAAATTTATAATTTGCCTAGGTCTTCTTATACATTTTGAACACTCAGGGCTTTAAAAAAATACAACCAGTTACCATATTGAAACTGTTGTGTTAAGCAATAAGCAGCTTCTTCATGTGAAACATTCTGTTCAATAACTAATTACTTGTCCCAGCTGGTTATAGATTATGTTATAGCCAGTAGGCTTTGAGTTACAAAAGTCATGTTTATTTTTTAATAAATATTCCATTTTGATTATGTTCCATTTTAAATTAAAATGTTACATCCAATTCTCTTTATGAAAACTTGCATTGTAAGACAAATGTCAAAACATATTTAACTTATATACATATATATTTTTTAAATAGGACCATGTTTCTGACAAAAAGTAGTAAATGAAAATTATAACCTTTTGTTTAAAAGCATCATAACATGAATATAATGAAAGTGCTAATTACAAATTGCTCATATATATTACTAAAGGACAGTTCATTCCTACCTGACAATAGAAGGACTGGCAAAATTAATTAAGTCATATTTATATAAAAGAATACAATGCCATTATTTAAAGAAATCTTCTAGAACCATTGTTATTGTTTTGGAAATATGGTTATGCAATATTTTCTCATGAAAGAAGCAGATTTCTAAAAAGACATTTATATAAACATATGGTTTTCTAAAGGTTGTATATAAAATACTTTTCTATATACGTACATAGGAAAGAGTTTCAATAGATATAAACTAAATACTAATGGCCATATTTGAGTGGTAGGTTTCAAAGTAAGTAGACTTAATTTTTCGTTTTCTTCCTACTATTTCACATTTTCTAATTTTTCTACATTATTTATGCCATTAATTTTTTATTAAAAAAACTATAGTTCAAAACATTTTCTAAGAAATCAGCTTTTTTATTTGTTTTTACTGTTCATTTTCTTAATTCATCAATTAGGTATAATGTATAATATCATATGACAAATAATTTTATTTGGGGGATGTTAAAAGTATTTTGTTATTTTTCCCTAGGTAATTATATTGTTTTGTCTTTAGTCCTCATTGCAAATTTATTACAACTTCAACCCCAATAAAGGTGCTATATTTTGCTTCCCATTTAGGGTGAAACTCTAAGAGAAGTCTCATTTCTCTTTCTCCAGTTTTATTACAGTTTCATATAGTATAAGCTGTTCAGATAGTAATAAACAAACAACAGCAGCTTCTATAATATGGCTAATCTAAAAAAGCATCTAAATATAAAATTTTAGATTTATATATTGAATCTAAGAGGAAAATTATTATTTTTCAATGTCTAAACATGCCAGATCATTAATAGGATAAAATTAGCGCATCACTGTCCTACACTCGACTCTGGTTAGATCCATCATTTTGCTAAAAAGAGGGAAAAAACTCCAAGCAGCTGACAGCGTGAGTTTTTTTTACCTATCCACAGACGGACAGGGCATAAACATCTGCTTTGTCTAGTCCATGGCTTTTGATGTCTGGTATTTTCTTCTCAGCAGCAATGTTGATAAGTAAAACAGATCAGAATATGTAGATATGTAATTAAATGGTTTTTTTTTTTCTTTTCTTTTCTTACTCTTTTGCCTAGGCCAGAGTGCAGAGTGCAGGGGTATGATCTCACCTCACTGCAACCTCTGCCTTCTGGGTTCAAGTACCTCTCCTGCCTCAGCTTCCTGAGTAGCTGGGATTACACGTGCACGTCACGATGCCCAGCTAATTTTTGTATTCTTAGTACATGGCTTTGCCATGTTGGCCATGGTGGTCTCGAACTCCTGACCTCAAGTGATCCACCCCCCTCAGCCTCCCAAAATGCTGGGATTACAGGCAAGAGCCACCGCGACCAGCCTGTCTTGGTCAGAAGATTTTTGTGTGTGATCTTGGTTACCTCCGTTTTGTGGTTAAAAATATGAACATAATTTTAGAGATTTGCCCATTTGTTCTCCTCTTTTGTTCTGTTTCTCTCTAAAAGAGGATTTTTAATCCTAAAGGTCTGGCTGACATGCATAGGTATTTTGATTTGTTTCTTAATTCACTAATTAATTTTTCTTGATGCCATTCTCTCTATACAATATGTCTATTCAATAGCCACAATCTGATAATGATTAACATATCATAAACTTATTTTAAACCAATTATATAACTGAGTAGAATCAATTTACCTGATTCCAAAACCTGTATTAATTAAAGCTAGGTGTATTAGTGGACAAAAAGACAGCTATAAAATACAATAAAGAATCCAGAAATAGACTCATACAAATATGCCCAAATGATTTTTTCAGCAGTGCAAGTCAATTGAAAGAAGAAGGATAGGCTTTTCAACAAATGGTGCTGGAGAAATTAGACATCCATAGGAAAGAAAAAATAAAGGAAAAAGAAAATAAGCCTCAGTCTTATACCTTACACAAAAATTAAAAGTTAACTCAAAATAGATCACAGTCTTAAATGTAGAGCATAAAACTATAAATGTTTCTGAAAATATAAGACAAAATCTTCAGAATCTAAAGGTGGGCAAATAATTCTTAGACTTACATCAAAAAATGATTAATGAGAGGAAAAATTGGTAAGCTGGATGGACCTCATCAAAATGAAACATACATACTCTGCAAAAAACACTAGGAAGAGGATAAAAAGACATGTTACAGGCCAGGTGTGGTGGCTTATGCCTGTAATCCCAGCACTTTGGGATTCCTTGAGTCCAGGAGTTCAAGACCATCCTGGGCAAGAAGGTACGACCCCATCTCTACAAAAATAAACAAGTAAATAAATAAAAGACAAGTTACAGACTGGGAATAAATACTTGTAAATCAATATCTGACAAAGGACTGAAACTTAGAATGTACAAAGAACTCTCAAAACTCAACAGTAAAAAACTAGAACATCCAATGAGAAAATGGCAAAAAGACATGAAAAGACATTTCACCAGAGAGAATATACAAATGTCAAATAAGCACAAGAAAAGATGTTCAATGTCATTAGCCATTAAGGAAATGCAAATTAAAACTACAGTGAGATATTACTACATACATAATCAGAATGGCTAAAATAACAGTAAGTGACAACATCAAATGCATGTCAAGCTACAGAGAAAGCAGATCACTCACTCGTTCCTGGTGGAAATGTAATATGCTGTAGCCACTGTGGAAAATAGTGTAGCAGTTTCTTAAAAATCTAAACTTCACACTTCATTAAAACACAGCAATTGCACTCTTGAGCGTATACCTCATAGAAATGAAAATTTATGTTCACACAAAAACCTGTACATGACTGCCTATAGTAGCTCTATTTGTAATGACTAAAACCTGAAAACTACCCGGATGTCCTTCAGTGGGCGAACAGTTAAACTAGTAGTGATAGTCCATATCATGGAATTCTACTCAACAATACGAAATAGGTGAGCTATTTATTTAAACAACAGTCTGCATGAGTCTCCAGAGGATTATTCTGAGTGAATGAAGCGAAGAGCAAAAGGTTACGTACTGTAAGATACCATTTATATTTCATTCATGTGATAGAAAAGGAACACAAATTAGTGACTGCCAGGAGTAAACAAGGGTGAAGGCAAGAGGGAAGTGGGTGTACTTATAAAAGGGCAAGGACAGATCCTGATGGTAATGGAGGAGCCGAGTTTCTTGATTGTATCAATGTCAATATCCTGGTTGTGCCATTGTACTATAATTCTACATGTCTATGTACTGATATGGAACTATGTTCAAATATGTATGTTAATGATAAAAGGTGCAAAACCATGTAAACATATTGTTACCATTTGTGTTAAGGGGAGAGAGCGAGTTTTATATTCATTTGCTTTCATTTGTAAAGTTTCATTTTGTTTTATGTGTAACATTCAAAAGCTCCCAAATAATAAAAATTAAATTGGTAAATCTGGTTGGGGGGAGTAAAATCGAGTGAATTAAAAAGGGGTGCAAGAGAAATTTTGTTCCATGTCCTTTGTAGTGTTTGATTCTTGTACAATGTAAATTTTAAGCAAAAACTAAAATAATACAAATTCAAGTCTCAAAAATAATAGTAATTTGTAGTTATCTTTAGTCTGTGTTGAAGGATTCTTTTGCTATAAAATGTCAGTATTTTATTAGGAATCATTGGTGTCATTTGAAGTGTTGCAGGTGTCCACCATTGCGATGCAGCAGCAAGAAAAACTCATCCAACAAGAGAGGGCACTGCTAAACTTTACAGAATGGAAGAGAAGCCATGTCCTTCAGATGAAATTTTGTCAAACCTTCATGCAAAGCTCTTTCAGTTCAGGTAATGGATAAAAATCAGTTTCCACTGTATACATCTAAATATATACACCAATACCTGAAAAGTAACAGTGACACACATTTTGTTCTCTGCAAAACTGTTAGGATTTCATAATAAGAGTAACATAATTTTGATCACTCTTTAGTTCAATCTTATTATAACATCCAATACTATGTGGAAACACCAGGGATCCAAAAGAACACAACTAAAGGAAATGTACTGTCAAATGCCAAAGAGGTGTGTGTGCAATTAGTAGGTCGGATTAAAAAAATACATGCACACACACAAAAAGACATTGTTTTATCTAGCCATTCAAATTTGTAAGGGTATTTTAATTCTAGCTCCAAATTTCCCAATATATTTAGATACTGTTTTAGTTTCAAGTTTAGATAGCTTTGAGCAGAAAAATTCATTTTGAAAATGAGTATTTACCACAAAATTCTTTTACGATGCAGGACCTAGCTCTTTTTTAAAATTCTATGAATTTACTCCAGTTTAATCTTTTATATGCTTTACAAGCATTTTAAACCTAATGCAGTCTATTTCTACCTGTCATATAGTTTGTCAAGTATTCTATGGTTACTTAATTGGCATTTCATAATGCTTGTACATATAGTTTAGAGAATTAACTTTCCTAGACTGGATACCATTTACATAATTGCCAATGAGAGATGTCAAAAATCAACCATAGTTCTTTCTGATTAAAATTTAATCAAGTATTTGAAGGATCACTGTGTGCCCAACAATGTCTCTATATGCAGCAGACCACTGCAAACTCGAGTGAGACCCACCTCTGAGCCATCAACCTTCAATAGAACAACAACATCCATTTTGGAGACCTACAAATCCAACACGTTCTTCAACGTCACAAATACCATTGTCTACATTATTTATACTATAACTCTAACAATGTTCAGGATATTGGTTAGCAGGGATTCCAAACAAAAGGTATTGAAGAGCTTTAAACAACTCAACATCTGGCCCATGGAAGCTACTGATGAGTTATTTCTTAGCCTAAATACAGGGACTGTCTAGAAACCAGAGTTGTGGAAGTTTCAGTGTCTTTCGTTCTATAAACCTGTGCCAGAAACACTTGGTCAAATTCTCGGTCTTTGGTCCCCCTTTTACATATTTGACCATTCTTCTTTTGTGACTATATTCCATCTTAAAACAGGTTCCATAAAACTGATTAAACATTAAGGCTTACTTCTTAGTTGTATCAGAGTCCTAAACTAAGCATATTGTTCACTTATGTTCTTCTCCAATTTTCCTCACCTGCATGTTTTCAAATCACTTCTTAAGGTGGATTACTTGTTCTCTCCATTATCTATAAAATATTTCCTTGTTTAGCTCTCAGAATTTAAACATAAATTCAAGGCTTATGATTCAATCCATGCAATGGTCCAGTACATTTCCGGCTAAATTGGGGCAGTAAGATTAACCGACATGAAACAATAAGCAAATAAGTGAAGACAATAAATGATGTGAACTCAAAGAAAGGAAAGACTGATAAAACGGGAATAATCAGATTAACTATTATAGAAGATAAAAAAATTAGTTAAATATATCCCACAATTAATTTCATATTTAAGTTAAAGGCCCATTGCATGTAGAACGTATTACATGAATCTTACTCTATTGAGCCTCAGAGAAGCTGAAATTGGTAAGTGCTACATCATGTGAACCATTATGTTATGGGATTCAGCCTCACTGAGGGTGAGGCAAGGGGCTTTTTGGGGGATATATGTTGTTAATATTTTACAATAAGATACTAAAGTAAAATGTTTATATTCAAAGCCCATAACTGCAGTCCTTGTCCAAACAATTGGATTCAGAACAGAGAAAGCTGTTACTATGTCTCTGAACATTGGAAAATTTGGCACACCAGTCAAGAGAATTGTTTAAAGGAAGGTTCCACGCTGCTACAAATAGAGAGCAAAGAAGAAATGGTAAACACTGTTTTGTGGTCTCATGTTTTCTGAAAATACCATTTTACTTATTAAAAGAAATCCCTCATTCTCATAAGATAAAGTTCCTTAATATTGTATAACAGCAGTATAATTGTAAAAATAAAGGTTTAAAAGAGACAAAGTTAGAATCCGTATGTTTTATTTTCTTTTTAATGGGAAAACATAAAAACAGGATGGTTATCTGAAATTGAGAAGAATATGTTTGTTCTATGTCCTTGGTTAATTAAAAAAAGGAGGGAATAAGGAGAATACTATTTCATAGCATGATAATCCACTTCAAGACGTACGTACATTATAGTTGCAGATATGTTTTAAATGTATTATTTTCAATGCTGTAGGCAAATATAACAACCTATAATAATCTTGTAATTATCAAGAAAAAACAAGTATAAAAACTGAAGTGATGCCATGAAATAAATAGGTCTTGAAAAATAAGTATCTGCTAAATGAAATGTTTAATTGGCATTAAATCTAGTTTACCAACATCTTAAGAAGTGAATAGGCTGGATGGGATGATTCACACCTGTAATCCCAGCATTTTGGAAGGCCAAGGTGGGTGGATCACCTGAGCTCAGGAGTTCAAGGCCAGCCTGGCCAACATGGTGAAACCCTGTCTCTACTAAAAATACAAAAATTAGGCGGGCATGGTGGTGGGAGCCTGTAATCCCAGCTACGTGGGAGGCTGAGGCAGGAGAATTGCTTGAACCCAGGAGGCAGAGGTTTGCAATGAGCCGAGATAGTGCCATTCATTGCACTGCAGCTTTTGCAACAAGAGCAAAACTCCATCTCAAAAATAATAATAATAATAAAATAAAACAAGTGAACAATAAGATGTTTCCTTGAACTCATTCTACCCATAAATATATGTGAAATAGAATGCAAAATTGCACACTTAGGTGCTATAAAAAATGTATACCTGCTATATTCAGTAATTACATGAAGTTCATTTCAACAAAAATCATGAGAAAATAATTTGTTAAGGATATGCAACAAATCAAGAACACTTGAAGTAAATTATTACAATTATATGCTCAAAAAGTTATTTTACGTGTAAATTTGATGACACAAATTAGAATGCTTCTTCTAACCGAATGTGCTCATACTTAAGTTACCCCTGGAATCTCATGAACTATTTTTCCACATCGAAGTATTCTGAGAAAGACTATTCTATGTGGTCTATGATGTCAAGAATATTTTTACTTTTGATATTGAAGGTTCAGTATAACACTTTTTTTTTTTTTGACGTATACTACCTGCCGGGCTCTGAATATGTTGAAACTTCCCAGTTGTTTATTTTTTTCATAGTCTTTAACACCACAAGGATCACACAGCAATAGAAAATAGTCTAAAAAATGTATCTGCACTTTTTTATAATACTCCCTTCTCTCTTTTTCCAGATTTCAAGTTCCCATTAATTTCTAGCTAGGCACAATGTCACACTTTATATTTCACTAGAGTTTTGTTTGTTTGTTTTCTCATTTCACAGTTCAGGTCTTATCTCTTATAGGATTTTATCACTGGCAGCTTGAGGAAGATTAGAGGAAGCTACGATTACTGGGTGGGGTTGTCTCAGGATGGACACAGCGGCCGCTGGCTTTGGCAAGATGGCTCCTCTCCTTCTCCTGGCCTGTAAGTCTCTGAGTAAAATGCTACAAGAAAAGTTAGAAACATGAGGGAATTCAAAAGTTTATTTTACCTTGTATCATGAATTTTCTCCAAGGGACAAGCAGCATGATAATGTTACAGGCGGCTAATTGGGATTTTTTTTTTTTTTTTTTGAGGCAGAGTCTCGCTCTGTCGCCCAGGCTGGAGTGCAGCGCCGTGATCTCGGCTCACTGCAAGCTCCGCCTCCCGGGTTCCCGCCATTCTCCTGCCTCAGCCTCCTGAGTAGCTGGGGCTACAGGGGCCCGCCACCTCGCCCGGCTAATTTTTTGTATTTTTCGTAGAGACGGGGTTTCACCGTGTTAGCCAGGATGGTCTGGATCTCCTGACTTCGTGATCCGCCCGTCTCGGCCTTCCAAAGTGCTGGGATTACAGGTTTGAGCCACCGCGCCCGGCCTAATTGGGATTAAAGCTAACAAAATTATGAATAGCTTCATGCCAGGCCGGGCGCGGTGGCTCAAGCCTGTAATCCCAGCACTTTGGGAGGCCGAGACGGGTGGATCACGAGGTCAGGAGATCGAGACCATCCTGGCTAACACGGTGAAACCCCGTCTCTACTAAAAAATACAAAAAACTAGCCGGGCGAGGTGGCGGGCGCCTGTAGTCCCAACGACTCGGGAGGCTGAGACAGGAGAATGGCGTGAACCCGGGAGGCGGAGCTTGCAGTGAGCTGAGATCCGGCCACTGCACTCCAGCCTGGGCGGTAGAGCGAGACTCTGTCTCAAAAAAAAAAAAAAAAAAAAAGAATAGCTTCATGCCTTCTAAGTCTTTCTCCTTCCCAGCCCTGCTACTATTATCTTATAGAAAATTCACCTCACAATTTGAGTATCTGATGAATAATATAATTATCAAGTGTGTTTCTTTTGTATTGCTTAGTATGTAGAGAGTAACTATTCATTTCCACATTAAGCTTTTCAGATGGCAGTGGGGAGATGGAGAAGCAGAATCAGGTTCCTTAGTATTTTGAAAATTAAGAGTCAGCAAAGACATTCTAATTTAGGGACTGTCTTTGGGTATCTATGTTTTCGTTTTCTTTACATGCTGTTTTTGTTCAAATTATATTAACATTCCTTATTGAGAGAAATAAGCAGTTACTGAAGAAGGAGGACGAAACCACCACAGGAAGGTGCTATGTTAATACAAAACAAAACAAGTAGCTACACACATCTCATTAGTTACCCTCAGGAACATCTCTGAAACCCCCAAATCTAACCTCAGAAATGCTGACTTGCCTTTCCAGGTTGCCAGTAGAGATATCCCAGTCAACCAACCAAGTCTGTGGATACATCAAAAACAGTTCCCTTCTTTCGTCTAACTGCAGCACTTGGAAGTATTTTATCTGCGAGAAGTATGCATTAAGATCCTCTGTCTGAAAGAAATTGTGTTCAAAGTGTTCTATTACATTATTATTTGGAACAGGCCATTGGAAAACCCACCCTCCAACACCCACGCAAAAAAAAAAAAAAACAAAACAGAACAGTAAACCAAAATGTGGGCAATGAAATTAGTAACCTGGGACTCAATAATACACTTGGGAATATTCTTCCACACCGTCCAGATTTCATTCGATATTGTTCATATTGCAAGAATAAAACTTATTTAGAGCTACAGAGGACAAAACCCTGAAGAATTGAGAACAAACGCACGGAAATCATTTTTATTGTTTAGAGCCCAGAATGACTGTAAATTTCACACAAGGTACAGATCTATGTTGTTGGGGGAGGTGAAGCAGTTACAGCTGACTAGTATTTTTAAAATAAATAAATAAATTTGGCCTTTTAAACTCACTGTCTGTGAGATCTTTCCATGCATTTTCTAGCCTTTCAGGCATTATGTTATCAGACTGATAGGATAGAAGAACAGAGATATGAATTTCCAAATTGAAAGAAAGACAGATTTCTATCTGCAGCCTGTAAGACAATGTACTTTTTAAGATTCGATTTCTACTAGGAAGATGAACTACTAGAATTGGACATAAGCAGAAGGAATAGTCGGGATGCCAGGATCAGAATGTTCTCCAGAGAATTCTGTGAATTCTCTCTTTCCTCTCAATGACCATCCCTACCATTCACAAATCAAAGGGCTCATGGTCTGGTCCCTCAGGGTTAACACGCCAGCACTTTCGATTACATCTTTCAGTGCCTCAATTGCCTCGTTGTAAAATAACAACAGAACTTACTTCAAAATATTGTATGAGTATTAGACTGTAAATATATGTCAGTGCCGAGAATAGTCTTGCACAGAGTTGAACACTATCAGTGCTTGGTTTTGTTCTCTGGACTATATAACCAGTCATCTCTACACATCAACCTTTATTTGTGCATCCCAGACAAAAATGATCCCTTTTTTTGTTCCTGTTGCAGGGATATTGAGAAGTGAAAGTTTATGGGTAAAATGTCAGCAACTCTTTGGAGAGAATATCTGCTTTAAAGTTAATGGATTCTCCTCAAATAAATCCATAGACATTCTCTGTCCTAAGTCTGTAGGCTCCCTGAAGCATGGACTATCTTATCCCCAAGAGACGATTAATAGCAAAGTACCTTGTGATCTACAGAAAGAACAGATTCCTTAATTATTATTATATTCCTTGTTACCACTTACCGTCCCTACAGGAATGCCTTACCACTTAGTAGGTTCTCAGTAAATATTTGCTTAATTCAATATAAGTTTATTTAATTCTTCATTTCTCACAAGGAGGAGCTGAGATTCATTAGATTATCATCTTTTCTTCCTAAGCGTAAAGACATCACTTAAATATATAAAGTAAAAATAAAACCTAATTCTCTGAGTCACTGGAAATCATTTAAATGAAACTAAATATCCTCTTACCTAAATGTCCTTTTACAATGGGTAAGGTTGTGTAAGGATGAGAAGAGCATGTTTTTGCTTATTTACCTTGACCTAGAGTTTAAATGTGGGAGTTTAAGTAAAAGAGATTTTTCTCTAATTTTCTGCCGAACCTGAAAAAGGAGAATAGCAGAGAAAACACAGCATATATTGTCTCCTGTGTTCGATTTTTACAGCCGACAGCTGGCAGCTGAATGTAATAACCTGGAATAAAGGAGAAACAATAGCAGAATTTACTAGCAAAGATTGTTTGCCTTAAAGATTCTTCAAAGCATTGTCATGGAACTACGTTTAGAGAAAGGATATGAAGCATTTATGATCATTCTTTAAAAAGTACAATAAAGCAAAAGGCAAACATTCTTCAACTGATGTCATCCCGTTGTATGATGCAGTATTTTCAAATTACAATTTATCTATAGCACAGCTGACTTCAGCTCCTACAGATCTCCTCAGCAACAATGCTGCTTTCCACACAGATGCTGTAGTGGGGGGATTCTTCTCTGCAGGTTGTTGTTGGTCCAGGATACCAAGGCTTTTCAAATACAACACTGAGTATGCCAGTCTTAGATCCTAGTCCCACCAACAATGAATTGGGCATCTTAGATCTCTTTCATTGAGTTCTAAGTTAGCCTTAAACAAACGAAAAGAAAACTAAAAATAAAACTGTCTTGCAAATGTAAAAAAGCTTTTGTTACATGTTTGGTTAAAGTACATTAAATGTATAATATATATATACATATATATATTATAATATTGGTAGAATAATAGATATTATTCGAGCCTAAATATCTATTCATATAATGAAGTGTGTACAAAAGTCATGCAGACTTTAAATCAGAGGATCCTGCTGTTTGTAATCTTCAAATACTGTAAGAATCTCCCTACAGAGGAGTCGACGCCCACATATTAAAGCTGGCCCTGAGATAACCTACCAGACTTTCTACCTTGTTCATAATGTGTTTGCATCCTTAAAATAAAAGCTCCCATTACCCTTCTCACACTTCCTGCTGTTACAGGGCTCATGGCCTGTTTCCTGTTGATAAATCCTGAGAGCAGGTTCAATATCCTCAGGAAAAGAAAGAGCTTATTGTGTACCCGGGGATCTCAGCTCTACCAGGAAAGGCTGGGCTCCTTGTTTGACTGCTCCTGCAATTTCTTCAGAATTACATAAACAAGAACCTAGAGAGAAAAAAGTCTCCTCATCCAGAAAAACCAATTCATACAGTGCCCCTCTCTGATTCTCAACTGGATATTATTCTTAGCAAATCAGATTTTAAAATTCACTTTATCATTATTTCCTATTCGTAATATTGATTTTTCAAAAGTGTGTAGTGAGAATGTTATGCAATACACTTTTTCTGTTGTTTTGAAATGTTTGTTCACACTGTGATCAATATTGCGAGTTTTGCTATAAAGACAAAGGGATTAAGGGGAAAGACGAAGAAGAATAAGAAGAATAATCCCTATAAAGACAAAGGGATTAAGGGGAAAGACGAAGGGAAGGAGCCGAAGTATGTCAAATGTATGTTATTTTTTCCTCCTCACAATGTAAAGTGACACTATCCCTTAGTCCCAGACTTGGAATGACATACCATTCACCACTTACTCTGCAGGCAGCTAGACTCTTCACATCAATGGCACTTAAAGAGATGCTTGTCATCCATCCCTGAGCTAGACTGCAGCTATATAGGATGCTAGGAGTCAAAACTTCAATGAGTGCATGTCTCTGTTTTACAGCTTAGTCCACAAAATCATTTGACTTCCTCCTATCAGTCATATTTTCCTTCTGTAGCAATAAGGCTTACATAACAATTGCTTAACTGCAGACTTACTTCTCATTTCTTGTTATGTACTTATTAATATGAACTACTTCCATTGAAAATCTGCACTCATCATCAAAAATATTTGGTAATAAAATCCTTAGCTCCCCAAAGTAGGTGCCCTTCTACAATTTGTTCATAAATACAAATTTCCAAAGAAGTTGGTTGTTATTAATAAATCAAGTTTAGCCTAACACCGCCTTCTCACATATTTTAAGTTTAGCCTAAAGGATTCTCTGTACATAATGTCAACTATAACAAGTTGAGGTGTAAATAGACCCTAGCCTACACTTGTGGCAATCACTGTGTTTTGGGCAATCAAAGGTAGCCAACTGTTTGAACTGTGTTCAAATAAGGCAAACTCAGAGCTGTAACCAATCCAGCTTTTTCTGTACGTCACTTCCGTTTTCTTTACTATGTTTTCCTTTCTCTGTCCATAAGTCTTCTTCCACCACATGGCTGCTCTGGAGCCTCTGAGTCTACTCTGGCTCTGGAGGCTACCCGATATGTGAATGCTTCATTGCTTAATTAAACTCTTTTAAATTTAATTCAGCTGAAGTTTTTTTTCTTTTTAACATTGCTTATGCATGTGTGTGTGCCCCCCTATATTTAAAAATAAATCGCTAGATCCTTTAAAAAATATTTTCTTGACTTCCCTTACATTTTATATTGAAGTTCACACTATGAAACTGATTTCACATTTACTTCATTTCAGCTAATAGTAACATTATGAGGAAATTATAACTATTTCTACTTCATATGCAGTGAAATAGGCTTCATGAAGTAAAGTGACTTGCCTAATAAATAAATCAGAATAAGAGATCTAAAATCTTCATTTTCTAACCACAAATACAGTTTTCTTTGCATGACACAATATATCAACAGAACTTCCTCAACCCTGAAGAAAATTTTAAGGAAATCAACAGAAAATTGAAAGGAAAGTTCTCAAGGAAGAATCTGCAATCGTCTTTGCTAAGTGACAATCTAACAAAATGAAATTTATGAAAGTGAGCACCAATGTGTTCTTTCTATCACATTATTGCTACTCTATGTCATTTTACCATGAGATAGATGTTTATGAAAAACAAAACTGAAGCACCTCAGTTGCCACTGTTGAAAAACAAAGATTTATAATGTTATCCTTTCTAGCATTAAACCCTCAGAATTGACTATCAATAAACCAATAAACTTGGTGGCTGTGATGGTGTCACTCCCAACGATCCCTGTTATATTTGTGCATGGAGTCATCTCAAGAAAGAAGTGCCTCACAAAGGGGCAGCTACAAAGATGTCACTGTCTTTGTTCATTTCCCACTACCTGACTGGAAATTGTGTGCACTAATGCAACTCAGCTTCCTCATCAACCATGTGTTGATGCCATAAGCTTGCCTCAAAATATTTCATTTTAGGAAAATGTTAAAACTGTTCTCTTGAAGACAACATGTATTTCAAAGACATCTTATTTTCTCCGAATAATTGTGTAATCCGTACTCTTGTAAATTCCCCAAAAACTCTCAGCAAGGCACGATGAAAATAATGATTGCCATCATATTCTGAAAAGCATTTCCATGCTGAATTTTCCCACAAATCACAAGTCCATTGTAAAATCACACACACTTCACAGTATTTACATTTATTATTATTAAATCTTCAGTACCTGAAAGGTATAAATATGGGTCAATGGAAGAAAATAGGAACTGATACTGTTACAGGTGCAGATGAAGAGGCTGACTTTTTTCTAGTCTTTAATCTCTCTGAAGGGAATATCGGGGACGGTAGTTCTGATATGAAACTGAGATGGGGATATATTTCTTTCCTGGGAGAAATTCCTATGGAAGGGAGACAATGATCAGAGTCTTAATGGACACAGGAAGGAATGTTTATAAGGCATTGAGATTCTCATATCAAGAGACATCCCTGTTGGGAAACAGGGCATAGACAAGGCAGATGGGGTCTTCACTGATAGATTGGGAAGGGACTAGTATGAACTGAAACAAACAAAAAGAATGCCTTGTGTATTTGGTGGTATAATCTGGGGAGTAACTGCTAATTTCTGATGGACTGCTTGACTGTCAGGGAAAAGGATGTTACTTCAATGTATTTCCTCTACAAAAAGTTTCTCATTCCACCAAGTGTAAGGAAGACATGGAAACAGGGAGGTGATATTAGACATTGAGAAGAAAGAAAGCTAAAAGTTATCTCTAAGCCAAGAAGGTAGATGACATTATGGGTTTCTGAGGTTGGTTGGTGGCATGTAAATAAGACTTCTTGTGACTTTTAAATATGTGCATAAACTCAAGCTCACAAATGCTGCTGATCCTGAACAGGAAACACGAGAACCCATTTTGTACTAGTCAGAGAGATAGTGTTTCCTGATTATGTTCCATTTCCTGATGTCTCAAGTAGCCCTTGCATTGGCATTGCCTGGCTCACTCTGCTATTTGTAGTTGCAGAGGGAGAATCAGTCACCTTCGCCTAATGTTTCAGGGGGGAAATGGAGGCTCTCTGTCTTCACCATTCCCGCTCTCCTCTCACAGATACACCGCTTCAATTCTTGGCAGTCCTTTGAGAAGATCATCCCATTAAGGATGGCCACACAGTCTCTGCTTCTTGGGCTGGTGACATCTATTATAATCTCGAACCTGAAAAAATGAAGAAACAGTAAATTTAATCACAGTTTATTTCTAAAATAAAATATTAAATACCCATTCTTCCTAGGGTGATAAAATTATAGTCTAGATACCAGAATCAGTTTACTGGGAAAATGGGGTCATATGCCTCTTTCTCTTCAGCCCCTAAGTTTCCACACTCATTCTTAGACACAGCAGGTCACCAGCCATCCCATTACTGGGTATATACCCAAAGGATTATAAATCATGCTGCTATAAAGACACATGCACACGTATGTTTATTGCGGCACTATTCACAATAGTAAAGACTTGGAACCAACCCAAGTGTCCATCAGTGACAGACTGGATTAAGAAAATGTGGCACATATACACCATGGAATATTATACAGCCATAAAAAAGGATGAGTTCGTGCCCTTTGTAGGCACATGGATGCAGCTGGAAACCATCATTCTCAGCAAACTATCACAAGAACAGAAAACCAAACACCGCATGTTCTCACTCATAGGTGGGAATTGAACAATGAGATCACTTGGACACAGGAAGGGGAACATCACACACTGGGGCCTGTTGTGGGGTGGGGGGAGAGGGGAGGGATAACATTAGGAGATATACCTAATGTAAATGACAAGTCAATGGGTGCAGCACACCAACATGGCACATGTATATGTATGTAACAAACCTGCATGTTGTGCATATGTACCCTAGAACATAAAGTATAATAAAAATAAATAAATACATAAATAAATAAATTATTAAAGGGGGAAAAAAAAGAAACAGCAGGTCACCCAAAACAGCAAAAATCATTTCTAACTAAAGTGAAGCTACGTGTTCTCCTCCAAATTTATATAGTTTCTCTGCCACTTAAAAAGTTATCTACCTTCTCTGTAACTCAGTTTACTTAACTGTAAAATACAAATGATTACATCAAATATATCCTGTTTCCTGGGAGAATAAATGATATATTGTATATAGGGAAGAAGGATGTCTGTTCAAATACGGCTTTAAATGTGATATATTTTGATAGACAAATTACAATTTCCTGTTTCAAAGGATACTGATATGGTTTGGATGTTTGTTCTCTCCAAATCTTAGTTGAAATATCATTCCCAGTGTTGGAGGTGGGGCCTGGCAGGAGGTATTTGGGTCATCGGGGTGGATACCTCATGAATGGCTTGGTGCCCTCTTCTTGGTGATGAGTGAGTTCTCAGTTAGTTCATGCAAGATCTGGTGGTTTAAAAGGGCCTGGAACCTCCTCCCACCCCCCTCTCTTTTGTGGTCTCTCTAGCCACTGGACATGCCAGCTCTTGCTTTGCCTTCTGCCATGAGTAATGCTCCCTGAAGCCTCCTCAGAAGCCAAGCAGATGCTTGTACAGCCTGCAGAATTGTGAACCAATTAAACCTCCTTTCTTTATAAACTATCCAGCCTCAGGCATTCATTTATGCTGATGCAAAAATAGACTAACACAGATACCATGTGTACTCCTATCTAAATGCTCACGGCATATATGAGACTAGTGTTTTATATTACACCTTACATTTTCAGCAAATCTTTTCTCAGATACTGCATTTTTTAAAGATGTGTTCCCTATTTTACTAATGCACAGAAAGCCAAGAAATCTTATCCTATCTCTGGGTACTGACCAGTTGTGTGATTTTAGGCAACCGCCATTACAGCCTGGACTCCTGGGCTTCAGTTTATTCGCCCATAAAGATCTCTCTCTCTGTCTCTCCCTTCTCTCATCCACAGTATGTCCCAGACACAAACTTCTGCCAGCAGCAAGAGAACTACCCTGATATTTCACTAATGCTGTGTATCTGTCTCCCTCACTGGCTTATAAGCAGTTCAAAAGCAAGCACTGGCCGGGTGTGGTGGCTCATGCTTGTAATCCCAGTACTTTGGGAGGCCAAGAAGGGCAAATCGCTTGCGTCCAGGAGTTCTAAACAAGACTGGGCAACACAGCATAAACCCAACTTTCCAAAAAATACAAAAAATTAGCTGGATGTAGTGGTGCACGCCCGTAGTCTGAGCTACCCAGGAGGCTGAGATGAGAGGAGAGCTTCAGCCTGGGAGGCAGAGATTTCAGTGAGCAGAGATTGCACCACTGCACTCCAGCCCATGCAGCAGAGCAAGACCCTATCTTAAAAAACAAACAAACACACACACACACACACACACACACACACACACACAACAAAATGAGGACGCACTATGGTTCAAATATCTTCAGTCATCCTCCTGCAAACACAGTATCCAGTACAAAGCAGAAGTTTGAGCAATACTTGATGGACCAAATTCTTGAACTCTGTCACTCAAGCAAAATATCTTTGTTAAATGCCTTTCCCATAAAATATCCTTAAGGCTTACAGTTCAGAAGCGAAAGGGGTTCCATCCATCCACATCCAGGCCTTGCCACTGTCAGGGCGCAAAAGCCCTGTCCAATAAGAGTAGAAAAACGGAGAGTGGCTCTGGAATATGGCAAAGTCCTGCAGAAAGCACACAAGAAAAGCTTTAGCTTTGGAGGCATGATCACACACATGCACAGACATGCACGGGCCAGCCAACGCTTTTCTCAAAGCACACACCAGTCCTGCTTCACACAGATGCTCACATGCTTAAGAGAAAAAGCATCGACACTGAGGCCTGTCCGAAATTTGTCCGGGTTTAATGACTCGTTTTGTCTTAGTAAATGTGGAACACATATCGATATTCTGAAAGCAGAAATCACATCAACCCAGATTTATTCCTGACCCATGGCTTTTAAGGCACAGAATTAAATATGAATGTTGATATAAAAATATGAGGGAAAGACTAATAAAGAGATGTGGAATGATTCTGGGACAGGGAAGAATATGGAGGGAAAAGTGCAGGAATGAGGTAGCAACCTTTATAAATGCCTGGGAAAGGAAGAAAAAAACTAAAAGAAAAATTTGCAAGGATGATTTACGTCTTAGACTAGGAAGGGGAGAAAGAAATTTTTAAATTTCTATTTATAAATATTTATGTGCATACATGTGTATAGTCCTATACATGGTAATTCTTTTCCCAATATCCATATTTAACATATGTTTACATTTAAAAAGTGATTTGCTTCCTTCTATCTAGTCTCACTCTGCACTCCTAATACATATTTTTGGAGAATTGGTGGGGACAGGGTCTCACTCTGTCGCCCAGGCTGGAGTGCACTGGCACGATCATGGCTCACTGCAGCCTCAACCTCCCAGGCTCAGTGTACTCCTAATATTTTAACATAGACATTATCTAAATATTTATTATAATTATCCATTTATACAATGAGTTTCTCAAGGCCATACACTTTGTTTCATTGTTACATCCATAACCCCTCAGATAATTAATAAAATATACCGATTTAATGAGAGATTATTGCAAATGTAAATGAAGCTATTAGCAAGCAATAGTCATAGAGTAACATGTGAAAATAACTGTAGTTGAAAATCTTTATTCTAATTAAATAGGGGGGTCCCTTCAAATTAAAAGTTTTGAAAGCAAATCATATGAAAAGGATTTAAATATATACAAATATATGAAGTTCATATAAAAAATAACTACATAGATTTAACAAGAAAATGTCCTACCACCTGATATAGTATAGTTCAATTTTATACCTGAGTTTGCAGTGTATGCTGGAGGCAGAGGAATCAAAGAGAATAAGAAAAATTAGGAGGGTTTATGCTAGGGCACACTGTCTTAGTCAAAGAAATTGCCTCACTTGATGCCTAAATTAAGCCATCGAGAAAGGGTTATAAAATGTCTTAGTAGCTGAGAGAAATTACAGAGGTTCTTTCATCACAGATTTCAGGAAGTAGGTAGAAATTAAGAAGTAACTAGAATGATGTTAAGAATTTGTATAGTGAGCTGAGAATTTAATTCAATTAAACAACCCTTTGTTGATAACCTACTCTTTATCAAGAAAAATCTCTGCCAAATTCTAGAGAAACAATGATAAATAAGCAACGGCCATACTATTTAAGAACTTCAATTCAAAGGCAATAATAAATATGAGAGAAAGTGGAATAATCATATTTTAATTGTGTACTTTAATTGCATGTACTAACTCAATATATGTCAATTTGTAGTTTTATTGTCACATTTGCCTTGACCAATCTATCCTAGACTGTAAACTTCTGGAAAGCAAGATATATATTTGCAGGTTATGGTAATAATTTAGTTAAATATTTTCCACTTAAAAGCTTTGCCACTTTTAAAAAGGAAGAGCAGGCAGTACTATCTTCATGTTTCTGACATTGCATCAATATTCTTCCTTTTCTACCCAAACCAAAACAGGAAAGAAGTTAGGACATTCTACCTTTGCTCCCTGAGAGGGGAGTTTGAAGTGATATTGCTTATCTTTCTAAGGGGTGTGTATTTCTGGAGAACACAACTCCTTCTAGCTACTTCAGGGGACCATTCAAAGCAATAGGAATAAGACTCAGGCCCTGATTGAAACGAGTGTGAAAAACCGTGGACCTATATTCTTGATCCTTAGAATCTTCTGGCTTAACTCTTTTAAGGCGTCTTTTTGAGAAAAGCCTCAGAATCTTACCAGATCTTCTTGTTTGTTTATCTTCAGCATGGTACAGTTCTCACTGAGGCAGAAATATTTACAGTCCTCCCAACTTTTGCCGTCTTTATAGAACTGGTAGCATTTGTCTCCATGCCACTTCCATTGGTCAGTACAAGGGCTGCACCTGTGCACTTGGAAAAAAGCCAAATTTATTGTTATTTTCTGTATGAGTCTGTCTTGCTCCTCTCTTGAAATTACATAATATTTGATGTCCTAAGAAAGAATTAACTCCTCTTCAATATTTAATTAATTGCCCAGGCAATGATAACTACAGTGTTTACTGGATACCTACTAAATGCCAGGAATTGTAACTGGTCCTAAGTATGTTGTAGAAATTAAAACAGACACTAATTGCTTATGTGGAATCTAGTAATAAATCATTGGAACTTTCTTGCCACTTGCCTGTGAAATTCAGCACGTGAAGAGAATATTCAATTTTACAAAGCAGTTGAAATGTACAGAAACTCCAACCGCATTGTGTTTAGGAAATAAAGTTTCTATAATGTTCTCAAAATTATCTTACATAACAGTAAAATCAGTTTTAAAAAAGACAGTATATACCGATATGATGTGGAGTCTTTTTAAGGAAAAAAACACTGAGGCAAGCGTGAAGTTAGAATGCTGAATCTCCATGTGTCGCAAATTAAATTGGGCATCCAGGCCAGAGAAGTATGGGTAGGGATCGCAAACATAGGATCCAAGCCCTGAGCACTATAGTTTTAACCCTATGTGGATACATGACCTTGGGTCATTTAGTTAGGAACCTAATCCAGTCTCTTGAGGGTTTGTAGTGGGATGAGAACTCAAGTCATAGCCATAACAATTTCTTTATTTTAAAAGCGACCTAGTTAACATGTTAAAATCTCAGTAGCTAATACACAGGTAGGTATTATATTATCATTTAATCTTCTTGTAAATTTGAAATATTTCATGAAGTAAAACAAAATTTAAATAAATAAATAACTTAGAAGGATATCTTTGTCATGTTATGAAAAACTTGCTGTGGAAGTCAATAGTTTTTGCACTCTCTCGGACAGGTCTGCTTGCGTCGGAATTCTACCAGGAGAAATGTAACAACCTGGAGAGACTCAAGCAAAAATGCAGGGAGCCTCAGACTTCCTAAAACACAGAACAAGAATGGGAATGACGCTTACCTAAAAGGATTATTGTAAAGATTAAATACGTAAAAACCAGAGTCCAGTTTGTGCAGAGACTTACGCATAAGAAGCATTTAATAAAGGTCAGTTTCAACTGTGGTCCCTGGTGTTATGAGAACTTAGATGGGTAATACGTGCTTGGAGTGCTGTGCTGAAAAAGATTATGAAGCAGCAACTGGACTCAGCAAGGAGAATCCTGGTTCATTCTGCTCTGGATTCAGTAAATAAAAACTATGTAACTGCAATTTTAGTACAGTGCATTAATACCTTATTCCCATCTCACGTACAATGTTTTCTTAAATACCTTTGATCTTCAGATACAAGTGACCCTCTATGTGCTCTATGTAAAAATAAGTCCCATACTTGCATGGGAATTAATAGAGAAATTTTCAATGAATGTTTAAGAGGAAGCAAGGGACAATTAGATCAAAAGGTGAGAGACTAAAGGACTGAGAGCCTTATGTGAAATAGGTAGTGATACGATGTAACTAAAGAGACAGAAATAGAGAAACCGCTTTACCTCCTTAACTTCAACTAACTAAATATTTAATATACTATTACTTAAACCATTGGAGGAGGAAAATGGAATACAGGTCAGAAGAAATTCATTTCTCTATGTATACATATAGATATAGGTATAGACCTAGATATAAATAGATATACATATACATACACCCTCCACTCCAGCCTGGACAACAGCGTGAGACCTTGTTTCCCCACCTCTCTGCTCCCCCTCAAAAGTATATATTTTTAAAGAAGAAAATGCATATTTTTGGCCAGAAAAATGGGTGGACTGAAAATGACCTGTTCTCAAATGTTTTGTCCATGGCACATACACCTAAGAAAAATAAAATACCAACTAATTTCTAAATGGAACACGTACACTTTCTATGAACTCTCTTTACCTATAAATTACTATTTTTGTATATGATATAGTGCAACAAATGTTTACGGATATTTAGGATCAATAAACAACAATGGTCATATTAGCAAGGCCAAAAACCCCAGGAAGGGCATTCCATTTCATAAATACATGAAAATATGTCATCCTAAAAAAAAAGGCTAATCGTCTTTTTTTTCTTACAGTCCTTTCTCTCTCCATTTCCCCTTCATTTTTGCTGTGTTTTGGACAAAAGGAATGTAAGTCTGTTTACATGTCTGGCCCAGAATTTTTTCCTCATATATGTAGCTCCCCAAACAGCATTCCTGGTTTCCAATTTTCCCCTTGTAGCCAGAGAATTCTTCCTCCTTTCACTCGATCACATCTCTATGCTTCTAGCTGTTTTGCCCCCAAATTCTGGAGCTGTTTTTGAATCTTTCATTTCTCACACATCCATTTGTGTCCCATCATGCAAAATCATTTCCACAAACAATATCCTAGTTAGAAGAACCATCATATTTCTCCTGGATTTTAGTAATAGCCATCTCTTATCTGATTTCTCTGTTGCTATTCTTTCCTCTTCTAGTCTAATTTTAACATAATTGTAGATTAAGCCTTTAAAAACTTATGCCAGATCATGTATTTCCTCTGCTCAAGACCCCATAATTAATCCTCATCTGCTCAAAATAGCAGCCAAATCTCTCGCAAAGGCACCTAATGCTATCTATGATGTCTACCTAGCCTCCTGTTAGTCTCCCACTCCAACCACATGGGCTCCTTATTATTCCTTGAATATGCAGATACATTCATGTTTTAAGGCTCTTGTGTTTCCTGTTTTACCTATAAAGCTTGTTATTTATCTGTATTACACGGCTAACTCCCTCAACTTTTCAAGTCTTTGCTATCATATAATCATCTTAATTAAGGATTTATGACTGTTCTATTTAAAGTAGCAACAGACTACCCTTGAATTCCTTATCCCTCTTGCCTTGTTTGCCTTCATTTCTCATAGGATTGATTAATCTCTCATACATTATATTTAGGCTGGCTAATCATTATTGTATACCTGGGACCTAGAGTTTCCCAGAATCTGGGACTTTTAGTACTAAAATAGGGAACATTGGGGGAAAACTTGGAAATGCTGGTTGATACAGTTTGAACATCTGTCTCCTCCAAATCTCATATTGGAATTTGATCCCCAGTGTTGGAGGTGGGTCCTAATGGGAGGTGTCTCGGACAAGGGAGCAGATCCCTTATGAACAGCTTGGTGAGTTCTCGCTCTATTAGTCGCAGGAGAACTGATTGTTAAAAAGAGCCTGGCACATCCCTCCCCAGTCTCTTGCCTCCTGGACTCTTGTCCTGTTACCTGCTGCACTTTCCCCCATGTGTGAAAGCTGCCTGAGGCTCTCAGAAGAAGCAGATGCTGGCACCACGCTTCTTGTACAGCCTGCAGAATCATTAACCAAATAAAACTCTTTTCTGTATAAATTACCCAGGCTCGGGTACTCCTTTATAGCAACACAAACAGATAAAGACATGAGTCATCTTATTTTATGTTTTTCAATATACTTACTTCTACCACCCCACTAGAGTAAGTGGTCCATGACAGTAGACATCCTGTGTGTTTTGTCAGATATGCATCAGTAGGCATTCAGTAAATACTCCAACCATACTGGTAGTAGTGCTAACTAAATGGATAAATATCACTTCAGTGGGTGGATGGATGGATGGATAATGGGTAAGATGAGGGTAAGAAATAAAAAGTAGCGGATTAAAACTGAGAACTGACATCTAACCAAAAGTATATAAGAATTTTATATGAGAAGAAACTTTAATATATTTGCATTTAGAGTTTATATTTAAATTAAATGACTTATTTGCATAGTTTCTCTTTTTATTTGTTTTTATATACCTAAATAAAAATTTGAAAGACCATTTGTGTTAGGAAAATCTCGGTTACCTTAAAAAAAAAATATTTTTGGCCAGGTGCAGTGGCTCATGCCTGAAATCCCAGCACTTTGGGAGGCTGAGGGGGGCAGATCACTTGAGGCCAGAGTTCAAGACCAGCCTGGGCAACATGGAGAAACCCCATCTCTACTAAAAAAGGACAAAAATTAGCCAGATGTGGTGGTGCACGCCTGTAATCCCAGCTGCCCAGGAGGAGATATGAAAATCGCTTGAACCCAGGAGATGGAGGCTGCAGTGAGCCGAGATCACACCACTGCACTCCAGCCTAGGTGACAGAGTGAGACTCTGACTTTAAAAATAAATAATAAATAAGTAAATAAAAATAAAAATAATTTCTGAGATAGTGTCTTACTATGTTGCCTGGGCTGGTCTTGATCTCCTCAGGTCAATCTTCCAGCCTCAGCCTGTCAAGTAGTGGATTATCTTTTTGAAGATATGGCAAATAACAAAGGAAAGTATGCACACTGGGCTTTGTTGGAAAATTCGTAAATAAGCGCCAGGTGGGGTGTTCACGCTTATAATCCCAGCACTTTGGGAGGCCGGGGCAGGGGGAACACCTGAGGTTGGGAGTTCAAGACCAGCCTGCCCAACACAGTGAAAACCTATCTCTACTAAAAATACAAAAAAAAAAAAAAAAAAAATTAGCTGGGTGTGGTGGTGCACACCTGTAGTCCCAGCTACTTAGGAGGCTGAGGCAGGAGAATTGCTTAAACTTGGGAGGAGGAAGTTGCAGCAAGCTGAGATCATGTCACTGCCTTCCAGCCTAGGCAACAGAATGAGACTCCATCTCCCCCCACCCAAAAAAAACAGAAAAAGAAAAATTAGTAAATAAGGACATTATGACCATTGAGGTCATTAGTCATGTAGGAAAGAATCACTTAGAGAAGTAAAACTGTGCCTATTAATATTTTTTCCTAGGTAGCCACGCAATCAGGATGTCTGTTTCAGGTGGGAAGTGGTGTGTGTATAGTAGATGAGGAGACTTTGCCCTCCTTCAGAGTTCCTAAAAAAGAAATAAAAAGTGGAAACCTGAACATGTATGCCATTTCCTAAGTAAGCATGATAAAGAGAGCAGAAGGGAGAGCTGACTTGAATAAAGTGGATTATCACAAAACTTGAAAAGAATAGAATAGGAATACACACACACTCACACTGAAACGATGCTCCTAGCCTTCTCCAGCAGTAAATTTATCAATGGTGGTTCACCTACCACTGGCACTGTCATTATCTGTGGTCCTTAATAAGCTACATATTTCTGATACCCAGCCAAGTTATCCTGAATTAAAATAACTTGAGTTTGATTCAGGTTATCTGCATTTTTGGACTAGTCCCTGTATGATTTTTAAGATTTGAGAACTACAGTTATGAGTTTACTTACTTCTTACTAGGAAAGAATTTGTAAGAACATCTGCTGAGGTAAATTGAGACATAACCCTGTATTTTCTTTACTTGTTGTCTTATTTTGGTTATTCATAGTTAATTGTTTGTATTGTTTTAAAATGTCTGCATTTGAAGAGTCCCTTGATGTATGGTATCACAGACACATGTGAATCACGGGATCCCAACAACTGATCACGATCTGGAAGCCCAAACCCTTTTTCAGTTTGCCAGACCTCTATTTAAATAATACTTGACTCTCACTTTCACCGGTGGGAAATCTATCTCTCCGTTGCCAGATAACATGGGGACAGAGTGACCAGGACACACTTACCTCCAGTTTTGTTATAGAGCTCACGACAGAGTTTTTCAGCCACATGCTGCAGACTTCCTGAAAGCTTTCTGTTCTGGACTTGAAGAGATTGCAACTCTCGGGATGTATTTCCTAATCTTTCTGCCATTTGAGAAATGGTGCCTTGACCAGTATTGGAGAGCTGGTAGTACTGAAAAACTAACCCAAATGACCAAGTCAGACTGGACAGCTTATTTCTATGTTTTATTTCCATTTTCTGCCTATGGGGAAAACAAACAGTATATTTTTTAGTATCTCAGGCTCTGAGATCTCATATTGCCTATATTCAAGTTTGGACTCTAGTACATATATGAAAAGTTGTATCACCTTGGGCAAATTAATTTCTTTAAGTCTGTCTAAAAATGTGAAGTCGTGGGGAGAAAATGGCAGCTAAGAGGGCTAAGGTGGAGCTCCCACTTGGACAACAGAACTGTGTGAGGAGACTCACACTGTGAACTTTTCCTCCAGGAACCACCTTAGGAACATACCAGGAAAACTGAAAGAATTCACAGATCCTTTGAAGGAAGCAACTGAATACTGAAAATTCTGTAAGACAGCCACAAATGTGTGAAGGGGGAAAAACCCACCTCTGAACGCACATCCCTACTGGGGAACCTGAAAATCTGGGTTACATGAGAAGGATTTAACCTTACCTGGAACAGAAATGGATATAGGGAGCCAAATATAAAATATATGCAAAACATAAAAGTAGAAGAGGCAGAAGGAAGAGTCCTGTAGGCACTCCCATTCTCCAGCTCAAGCCCAGGGAAGCCATCCCTGACTTTCTCTCACAGGGGTCCTTGGACAAGGCAGCCAGTGGAATTTAAAGAGGAGTCACAGGATGAAAGAAGCTTCCAAATGAATTTTGTAATAATTTCAACTGGATACGAATTTTCTTAAGCAGGATCCAGGGGGCAAAGAGGAACTGCTACAGATATCAGCACAGGAACTGTAACAGATGGTGTGAGAAGGTGGGGAGGGGCGTGGCCTGAAAGCCTGCTTGCTTTCTCAGTGGGAAGGGTTGTAGCCTAGGGCAAGATCACAGCCCCAGGCATGAGCTGCCAGGATATAAACTCCATGTTATTGGTGGGGCATGGGAGGAACAAGACTTGCCTCACCAGCTATGTGGGAGCTGGGTAAGGCCTATCACTGCCAGCTTTCTCCCACTTCCCTGGCGACCTGTATGACACAGCAGAGGCAGCCATAATACCCTGAGAAGCAACCCTCATGATCCACAGCATTCATGGCAAGCCCTGCCCAAAGAGAGTGTGAGCTCAGACCTGCCTAACCCTGACCCCATGTGATGTTTTTTCTCTACCCACCCTGGTACCCAAACACAAAAGACATAAACTCTTGGGAGCTGTATGGCCCCGCCCATCACCTGAGAAACCTGAATACTTATCCTGGCAAACTTAGAACAAGCTGTGAATCACAGGATCCCAACAACTGATCATGATCTGGAAGCCCAAACCCTTTTTCAGTTTGCCAGACCTCTAGTTAAATAATACTTGACTCTCACTTTCACTGGCGGGAAATCCATCTCTCTGTTGCCAGATAACATGGGGACAGAGTGACCAGGACAGGATGTAAATCCCCTGTCTACTACTGCAGTTGGTGCTCTCTTTAAAGCACCACCTCCTGGCTGGAGGCCAACCAACTCAAACCATTAGAGTAACTCAGGACAGAATAACCCTGCTCCAAGGAGGGAGAAGACAACAGCTAATTCCACTGCCTGCAACATCCTGGCTAACCAGAGGTCCTGAGTGTGTCCATCTGACAACTTCACTGCTAGCATAACCAGCATTCAAGACAACCAGCACACTAAACATATCTACAACCAAGGACTCTCACAGAGTCTACTTCACTTCCTTGCCAACTTCATCATAGCAGGTGCCCCACAGATGGGAGACCTGAAGATGGATCATATCACAGGACTCTGCAGACATTCCCCAGCACCAGCCTGGAGCCTGGTAGCACCCACAGTGGCTAGACCCAGAAGAGAATAACAATAACTGCAGTCTGGCTCTAGGGAAGTCCTATTCCTAGGGGAAGGGGGAGAGCACAACATCAAGGGATCACCCCATGGGATGAAAGAATCTGAACAGCAGCCTGTGTGTTCCAGATCTTTTCACTGAAATACCCAATATACCCAAATGAGAAGGAAACAGAAAAGTAAGTCTGGTAATATGACAAAACAGGACTCTATAACACCACCAAAAGATAACACTAGCTCCCCAGCAATGGATCCAAACCAAGAAGAAATCTTCAAATTGCCAGATAAAGAATTCAGAAGGCTGATTATTAAGTTACTCAAGGAGATACCACAGAAAAATGAAAAACAACTTAAAGAAACTTATTTATGGTTTTCTTTCTTTCTTTTTGAGACAGAATCTCACTCTGCTGCCCAGGCTGGAATGCAGTAGTGTGATCTTGGCTCACTGCAACCTCCACCTCCCAGGTTCACTTGATTCTCCTGCCTCAGCCTCTCAAGTGGCTGGGATTAAAGGTGCCCACCACCATGCCTCTCTAATTTTTATAGTTTTGTAGAAATGAGGTTTCACCATGTTGGCCAAGCTGGTCTTGAACTCCTGACCTCAGGTGATCTGCCCTCCTCAGCCTCCCAAAGTGCTGGGGTTACAGGCATGAGCCACCACATTTGGCCTAAACAAATTTTCAAAAACAATATAGGATGTGGATTTTAAAAATTATCCAGAGAAATAAATATCATAAAGAAAAGACTATCACAACTTCTGGAAATGAAAGACACACTTAGAGAAACACAAAATGCACTAGAAAGTTTCAACAATAGACTAGAACAAGAAGAGAGAACTTCAGAGCTTGAAGACAAGGCTTTTGGATTACCCCAATCTGACAAAGACAAAGATAATAGAAAAAAAAAAAATGAACAAAGTCTCCAAGTAAGTTGGAGCCATAGTAAATGGCCAAACCTAAGAATAATTGTTTCTGAGGAAGAAGAGAAATCTAGAAGTTTGGAAAACTTATTTGAGGGGATAAACCAGGAAAAAACCCTTGGTCTTCCTAGGGATCTAGACATTCAAACACTAGAAGCTCAGGATGTAAGGGTTCTCTGGCTGCGATATCTGTCACCCCATTGATTGCCAGTGTTCATTTGGCTGATCTGGCTGGCTAGGCATGTGTCCCCTTCCTCCCTCACTGCTCCAGGTGCATCCCTCCTGAATGCACATGGTCGAAGAGGATGACTATACCCGATAGAGGAGGACCAGTCTGGTCAAGGGTATACAAGTAGCTGCACTCTCCTGCTAGAACCTCCAAACAATCTCTCAAATACTAGAAGCTAAAAAAACACCTGGGAAATTCATTGCAAAAAGATTATCACCTAGGTAAATATTCATTATGTTATCTAAAGTCAAGATGAGGCCGGGCGTGGTGGCTCACGCCTGTAATCCCAGCACTTTGGGAGGCCGAGGTGGGCGGATCACAAGGTCAGGAGATCGAGACCATGGTGAAACCCCGTCTCTACTAAAAATAGAAAAAATTAGCCGGGCGCAGGGGCGGGCGCCTGTAGTCCCAGCTACTCGGGAGGCTGAGGCAGGAGAATGGCGTGAACCCGGGAGGCGGAGCTTGCAGTGAGCCGAGATTGCGCCACTGCACTCCAGCCTGGGCGACAGAGCGAGACTCCGTCTCAAATAAATAAATAAATAAATAAATAAAGTCAAGATGAAGGAAAGAATCTTAAAAGTTGTAAGACAAAAACATCAGGTAATCTATAATGAAAACTTATCAGATTAATAGCTTACATCATCAGAAACCCTAAAAGGCAGAAAGGATTGGGGTCCTATTTTGACCCTTCTCAAACAAAATATCGTCAGCCAAGAATTTTGTATCCAGTGAAACTAAGATTCATAAATGAAAGAGAGATAATGTTTTTTTCAGAGAAACAAATGCTGTGAGAATTTGTAACTACCAAGACAGCACTACAAGAAATGCTAAAAGGAGTGCTAAGTCTTGAAACAGAATCTCAGAACCTCAAAATACACCAAAATAGAATCTCCTGAAAACATAAATCTCACAGGACCTATAAGACAATAACACACACACACACACACACACACACACACACAAAATAAAACAAGATATTCAGGCAAGAACTAGCATAATGAATAGAACAGTACTGCACATCTCAGTACTAACACCGAATGTAAATGACCTAAATGCTCCACTTAAAAGATAAAGAATGACAGAATGGATAAGATTTCACCAATCAAGTATCCGCTGTCTTCAAAAGACTCACCTAACACATAAGGACTCACATAAACTTAAGGTAAAGAAGTGGAAAAAGATATTCCATGCAAATGGAAAACAAAAATGAGCCAGAGTAACTATTCTTTTATCAGACAAAACAGACATTAAAGCAACAACAGGAAAAAATAAAATAAAATAAAATAAAACAAAGAGAGACATTATAGACATTATATAGTGATAAAAGGAATAATTCAACAGGAAAGTATCACAACCCTAAATATATATGCACCTAACATTGGAGCTCCCAAATTTATAAAACAATTACTACTAGACCTAAAAAATGAGATAGACAGCAACACAATAATAAGTGGGGGACTCCAATACTCCACTGACAGCACTAGACAGGTCTTGAAGACACAAAGTCAACAATGAAGAACAAAGAAAGAAACAATGGACTTAAACTATATCCTAAGACAAATTGACTTAACAGATATTTACAAAACATTCCATCCAACAACTGCAGAGTATGCATTCTTTTCATCAGCACATGCAACATTCTCCAACAAAGGCCATATGATAGGCTACAAAACAAGTCTCCATAAATTTAAGAAAACTGAAATTATATCAAGTATTCTCTCAAAGCATAGTGAAATAAAATTGAAAATTAACAATACAAGGCACCCTGAAAACTACACACATACATGGAAATAAAATAATCTGATCTTGAATGATCTTTGGGTAAACAACAAAATCAAGATAGAAATTAAAAAATACTTTGAACAGAACGATAATATTGGTGACACAACTTATGAAAACCTCTAGCATACAGCAAAAGCGGTGCTAAGAGGAAAGTTCATAGCATTAAATGACTACATCAAAATGTCTGAAAAACCCCAAATAGACCATCTAAGGTCACACCTCAAGAAATCAGAGAAACACGAACAAACCAAACCCAAATCCAGTAGAAGAAAAGAAGTATCAAGGATCAGAGCAGAACTAAATGATATTGAAATGAAAAAAAAAAAAAATACATACAAAAGATAAATGAAACAAAAAACTGGTTCTTTGAAAAGATAAATAAAATCCATAGAGCAGGCCGGGCGCGGTGGCTCAAGCCTGTAATTCCAGCACTTTGGGAGGCCGAGACGGGCGGATCACGAGGTCAGGAGATCGAGACCATCCTGGCTAACACAGTGAAACCTCGTATCTACTAAAAAATAGAAAAAACTAGTCGGGCGAGGTGGCGGGCGCCTGTAGTCCCAGCTACTCGGGAGGCTGAGGCAGGAGAATGGCGTAAACCCGGGAGGCGGAGCTTGCAGTGAGCCGAGATCGCCCACTGCACTCCAGCACTCCAGCCTGGGCGACAGAGCGAGACTCCGTCTCAAAAAAAAAAAAAACAAAAATAAAAATCCATAGAGCATTAGCAAGGTTAATCAAGAAACGGAGAGAAGATCCAAATAACCTCAATTACAAATGAAATGAGAGATATTCCAACTGATGCCACACAAATACAAAAGATCACTCAAAGCTACTATAAACAAAGTCCAGAGGGGATAGACAAATTCCTGGAAATATACAACCCTCCTAGATTAAACCAGGAATAAATAGAAACTATGAACAGAACAGTAAGAAGTAGTGAAAATGAAACAGTAAGAAAAACACTGCCAACAAATAAAAGTCTATACACAAATGGATTCACAGCTGAATTCCATCAGACATTCAAAGAAGAATTGGTACAAATATTACTGAAACTATTCCCAAAAATAGAAAAAGAGAATCTTCCCTAAATCATTCTATGAAGCCAGTATCACGGTAATACCAAAATCAGGAAAGCACAGAACAAAAAAGAAACTAGAGACCAATATCCCTGATGAACACTGATGCAAAAATCGTCAACAAAAGACTAGCTAATTGAGGGCCTGGTACGGTGGCTCATGCCTGTAATCCCAGGACTTTGGGAGACTGAGGCAGGTGGATCACCTGAGGTCGGGAGTTCGAGACCAGCCTAACCAACATGGAGAAACCCTGTCTCTACTAAAAGCACAAAATTAGCCAGGCGTGGTGGTGGGTGCCTGTAATCCCAGCTACTCGGGAGGCTGAGGCAGGAAAATCACTTGAACCCAGGAGGCGAAGGTTGCACTGAGCCGAGATTGTGCCACTGCACTCCAGCCTGGGCAACAGTGTTAAGACTCCATCTCAAAAAAAAAAAAAAAAAAAAAAAAAAAAAAAAAAAGACTAGCTAACTGAATCCGACAGCACATCAAAAAGATAATACCCCATGATAAAGTGGGTTTTATCCCAGGGATGCAGGGATGGTTTAACATACACAAGTCAATAAATATGACACATTACATAAACAGAATTAAAAACAAAAATCATATGATCATCTCAATAGATGCAGAAAAAGCATTTGAAAAAATCCAGCATTCCTTTATGATTAAAACATTCAGCAAAATTGGCATATAAAGGACATACCTCAATGTTATATATATATACACACACATATATAACATTTTAATATATGTATTATATATATTTATATATAAAATATATATATTTTTTGGATGGAGTCTATATATATATATATATATAAAATATCTATATATATATATAGATAGATATTTTTAGATGGAGTCTCACTCTGTCACCCAGGCTGGAGTGCAGTGCAGTGGTGTGATCTTGGCTCACTGCAATCTCCGCCTCCTGGGTTCAAGTGATTCTCGTTCCTTGGCCTCCTGAGTAGTTGGGATTATAGGTGCCCACCACCACGCTAAATTTTATATTTTCAGTAGAGATGAGGTTTCACCATGTTGGCCAGGCTGGTCTCCAACTCTGACCTCAAGCGATTCGCCTGCCTTAGCCTCCCAAAGTGCTGGAATTACAGGTATGAGCCACCATTCCTGGCCTTAAAAAATGTATAATTTAAATAATTTATCTATATCTATTTATAAATACATAAATAGAAATGTGGAGTTATAATATTAGTTCCCAACTTCAAGAATAAATTCTCAACCTATATTTATTGCTTGATAAATCTTTTTATGTATACTCTCAAATGTTACTCAACATAAAACCACCGATCTGTTTATATGTTGGTTATTATATTGAGTATTGACAATATACCATATATTGTTACTTATTCAGTTATTGAAATAGTGTTATTATTTTTTCCATGATTTTATAGTTTGCAATTAGGATCATTGAGAACAAGTAAATTCCTAATGTCATTTTACTAGAAATTTTCAACATTCAGATTTGAAATTCAGGTCTCTACATCTAAGTATAGAAATCTCTCATGAATCATGAGAGTTCCTCTGTATTTCCAAGAATAATGGTGGTTGCAAAATAATAGTTATATCACAATGAAATAAAACTTTTGGGATCAAAGGGGGCAATAAGAAATTATTTGTAATTTTGAAATATAAGATACAAACAAAAGTCTTAAAATTCCTGTAAAATCCAGTTTTTGACATTAAAATCTGCTCTTCTATATAACATTTTTCTTTGAATAACCTTCTTCAGCTGTTTAGGAAACATTGCTGTGGGGACTTCACCTACTGAGGCAAATTCATCCACTTTCTTTTTTAAGGTTTTTAACTTGTTTTTACTAGTTTGAAATTTAAATATTTTTAGATATGCATTTTTCCGATTTGATTTTCACAAGTTTTTATAAAATGACTGTATAACTTCCTGGCCTTTAAAATATACGATGATGAAGGAGTTTACCTACTCTCCTTGTATTGACGGTATGCGCGGCTCTGTGGGTAGTATATTCTGCACTAGCCCACCGAACCCTGTATTCTCAGAGTCAAAACCTCTGATACCCTAGTCTTTTGTGGAATGGGAGAGGGCTGAAGCATGCATTTATTTAAAATAAATGATATTTTTAGACAGTGACATATAAACAACCAGACAAAACCCTTCTTATCTCAAACAGAATGTTTAATTCTAGTTGGCAACTGATTGTCATATTTTAATTCTTCTTCCATTATTCACCATTTAAATAGCTACATTTAAGAAAAGATACACTGAGTTTTCCAAAGGCTGAAGAATTAAAGCTTAAAAAACAAATCCATGACAAGTGTTTCTCATCCTAGACAAACCTTGGAACCAGGATCCTCCCCCAGGTCAGAGCGCAGACTTACACAAAAGCCCCAGGACTGCCAGCCCTATCAGCAGCACCAAGCACAAAGTCAGCAGGGTCAGGGCCACTGGTCGCCACGTTGAAGAGGGAGCCCTGTGCTCTGCAGGGAACAGAAGAGAAAGCAGGGTTTGGCTTTTTCTTCCTCTTGCATCTAAGTCAATAACAGGTAAAGGAGAGGAGTTGATTCTGCACGGGAACAAATTATGCTGGACAACAGTAACGGGGGCTGGATAACTTGATTTCTGTCCTCAGAAACATCATCATAAGGCTCAGTGCAAGCCTCACTTATCACAGCTAGATTTTCTCACAAACCCCACCCATTTGTATCCACCTCTCAAGTCTTACTTTGCACTGAAGCACACTATGCATTATCTTTATGTGGTTGGTTGTACAACCTTCTGCTTGTCAAAATTCTAATTATGAAAGGCTGTCATGAAAATGTCTGAGAATCTCTGAACCTTACCAAGGGACAACTTTTTACATAATCAGGGGAAGATGAAATTAATTTGCTGTTACTTTTGAAAAACATCCCCCTCCCCCCAAGTTCCGTATATGCTTTTTCTAAAGGGCAAATTGCATGTTAGTAATGGGAAGTAATAATTTTACTGTTTTTCTGTGGAATTGCTTCATTGAAAGTCCCTCTTTTGTAAGGATATTGTTTGTTCATTCATTTGATTTATATTTTTTCAAAAATAGATTATAAAGAAATAGGATCATCAATTTCTGAAAGATGAATCTAAACTATTTTTGCAACAGTTAAATAATTTTTAAAACTGTGGCAAACATGCTTTCCTTGCCCTCCATTCTCGTAAGTTTGACTAGTAATTGCAGAGATTTTACTGTAAGTCATGGGTAGACCCTTCACCTAGTGAGATCACCTATCTGAGTCTGAATGACCTAATGTATCTGACAGGGAAGATTTTTCACTCAGGTGCAGCTAGCATCTAGCATTGTGATAAAAATGAACAAAGAGAGAGTGAAATCCTCAAAGAAACTCTCATCTCTTTGTAGCCCGTTAGTTCTACTTCACTGAGAATTCAAGTCACGTTCTGAAACAGAAAGATTAAAGAGTTCAGAGGGGCTTTTTGAAAGAAAATTCTTTTCCTTCTAGCAAGGTCCTATACATAAAACATTCCAGGTACAGAGATTTTCCAGGCTGGAGTGCAGTGGCGTGATCTCGGCTCACTGCAACCTCCACCTCCCAGGCTCAAGCAATCCTCCCACCTCAGCTCCTGAGTAGCTGGAACTACAGGCACGTGCCACCACGCCTGGCTAATTTTTTTTTTCTATATTTTTGTTGGAGATGAGGTTTCACCATGTTGCCAAGGCTGCAGGCTGTTCTCTAACTCCTGAGCTCAAGTGATCCTCTTACGACACCTCCCAAAATGCTGGGATTACAGGCATGAGCTACCATGTACAGAGATTTATATGAAACATTATTTCCAAATGGGGAATGATAACTAGTAAAGAATATAGAAATAGACAATATGATTACTGTCCTCTGGAACTTACAATCTAGTAGGGAAAATAAGTTAAAGTCTCAGAGTAGACATACTGATGTATTTTTAAATGTGAATCTTATTTCTTAGCAATCATCTCCTTTATAAATAGCTCTCATTACATTTAGAATAAAATCCGAATCACTTTTCACAGATTGCTCCTTTAAAAAAAAAAAAAGAAAATGGCAATTTTATTATGCTACTTCCCTACTTAAAAACTTCAAAAGCTTTATTGCACTTAAAATTAAATCCTACATTAGTCTTATTGAGACCTTCCTTAGCTCTTTCATCCCTTTCTGAACTATTTTCCTCTCATTCACATGTACTACTCACAATGGCCTTCCGTTTAATCCTTGATCTGATCAAGCTCGACCCTAAGTACCTTGTATCAGCCCCATTTCTGCCTCTGCATTAATTTCAGTTTCAATGGCACATCCTTGGAGGAGGTCCATGAGTCCATCTCTAGCATATCACTCACCCTGTACTAGGTAATATTTTCATGACTTTTGTTTCTTTTTGCCTGTCTCCTTTCTCTCCATTTAACATTCCATTAAAACAATGATCTTGTCTATCTTGTCCACCAGTGTATTTCCACTACTGAAAGTAGTGCCTGGGACATAAGGGCTGAGTAAATCTTTGACAGTTTAAATAATTGAAAAATGAAATTATAAAAAATTAATATGACTTAAACTAAGTTTTAAAGAGATAAGTGGGTTCTCCAAAGTTAAGCTTACAGGGTTTTCGTTTGTTTGTTTGTTTGTTTGTTTTTCTGTAGTCCATTGACTTCTCAGCAACATCTATGTCAGCAGAAAACAGGCTCAGCTAAATATATCTCCCAGCCATGGTGGTTTCTATACACTGACTTTTGTGAGATTATATCATGAACAAATCTAAGGGAGATTTGCCTCCTCCTGTTTCCTTCAGTTAACTGAGCTATGTGATTTAGTCTTGGTTTTTCTGCAAAAGGATGGTTTTCTCATGGTATCGACTATAAAAGTATTTCAGATCAGCAGAACATAAAAAAAAAAAGATTAGAGGCAGAATATAGTTTGGGTGAATCATCCTCTCCAAAACCCTGTATTTGTAAACTTCCATACAGTCCAAGAAAGTTAATCATATGGATGTTTCTAGATTCCACAGTTAAAAGTGCTTATGTGAGCCCATCACTATGGTGATTTTATTTTTCCACATACCTCTTATTACCATTAAATATATTGTATATCTTTGTTATTTCATTTAGCTTATATCTGTCTTACTCCAGGAAAAATTAAGCTCTTTCTTGGAAAATATCTATTTAGCCATTATTGTAACCCAGTTCCTAGTGCAGTAGTTGAAATAAGCTCAATTACATTTAAATAAATGAATGAATAGGTCCATTATATACAAATATCTGTGTTATATGCCTACCTACCCCTACTCAAACATAGTTACATTAATACACATCTCAAAGTCATAATAATTTTTAAAATCCTGTTACTTCTTATAATTAATATTTGGCTGAAATTAAAAATAAGAGGTAAAGGAGAAGAAGAACTATGACAGTCAACTAACTTATTTATCTCTTTATAAATCTGTTTTCCGCCAGGCATGGTGGCTTAGGCCTGTAATCTCATCACTTCGGAATCCTCCCAACTGAAGCAGGAGGATTGCTTTGGGCCAGGAGTTCGAGACCAGCCTGAGCAACATAGTGAGATCCCATCTCTACAAAAGATAGCAACATAGTGAGACCCCATCCCCATCTCTAGAAAAGTTTTTAAAATTCATCAGCCATGTTGGCACACACCTGTAGTCACAGCTACTCAGAAGGCTGAGGTGGGAGGATTGCTTGAGCCAGGGAGGTCAAGGCTGCAGTGAGTCGTGATCGTGCCACTCTACTCCAGCCTGGGTGACAGAGCAAGATCTTCTCTCAAAAGTAGTGATGAAATGAAATGAAATGAAACGAAATGAAATGAAATGAAATAAATCTGCTTTCCCTTGCATAATATCGAGGACATGGGAAATGTTGTTTTTCTGCCCAAAGGACCAAAAAGAGTGAACTTAAATTCCTTCTGTGAAGTGATGGCCTGGACTTTAGAAATTAGAACATCTTTCAATGATAACTATATTCATGAAAAGAAAAAAAAATACAGGATCCTTCCTAAGATTGCCTCTAGGTCGGAAAAAATAAAAGAAATATAATAGGCTTTAAAAGGTTTTTAAAAATCTCTTCTAAGAAATCCTCTTTCTCTGATCAAATTTTCCCATTTTGAAATTTTTCTTCTCTCTTCCCATCTCCCTCTTGCTCTCTCACTTTCTCTCTCTCTTTTTCAATATTCTCCATCCAATCATTCTATGTAAAGACATGGAGAAACACAATCCTGGGTAGTTCATCTTCCAGGAAACCAAGCTCCCATGACGGAAAGTCCATGAAGTTGAAAGTTTCACTTTTTCTTTTTCTTTGATGCTATTTTTCCTTCTAGATGTTTTTCTTCTAACTATGAGTCTAATGTTTCTCAGTTTTATTCCAAGTGCTCCTAATCATACTGAAGTCTCTCTCCAGGGATCACCCTCACCCTAACCCGAGAAAGATTTTCACAAAAATAAGATGCCTGGGAGGTCGCTTGAGTTTGGCCTGGCTTTATTGTGGTTTTATTTTTTGGAAGAGAACCCCTTTGCTCTCTCCTGAGGCATACTTAGAAAGGGGTGTGGATAGGCCAAGGAATGATATAAACATCCCTAAGAATAATAAGATATATATAGAAAAAAAAACCTTTCCTGTATCCTCTTAGTATAACCATAGTATAAAAGGCCTTGGTGCTAGGGTCAAATTTTGGATACCAATTACTGTGTAATTATATGAAACTTTGTGGGTGGAGAGTTGTCAAACTGAACCAGTTACCCTTCATCAGGCATCAGAGAGGGAAAATTTTGTTTTCCACCCAAGAAACTAAGCTGACATTACCATATACAGTCTATTAGTATACCTATGAATGCAAAAGGTCTTAAAAGCTGGAGGAGACACCGAGAGTTTAAATAATGTGCACATTACAAACTAGTTGCAGAGCTAGGATTAAATCATTATGCTTAACGCTATACTTTGCACACTTTTCTGTGAGCCAGTCAGGAGTCACGGAGACATGGGGGCAAAACTGGTGGCAATGTACACAATATTTCAGAAAGCACTTTTTGATCCCTTTGTATTTTGAAATGTAAATGTCTCTGTTTCCTTAATCCTCATATGTAGTGCATGGGAAACCTCATAAGAGTCTGAGTTCATGGGTTGAGTCTGCTTTTCTGTGTTCATGTAAATGCAGGTTTCTTTTCTCATATGAATCTATTTCAAATATTGCTATTTTCATACTCTCTAAATGAAAATGTGTGTTATCCTTCCTATTATTTGAAAAAAGTATATATCTAAGAACATACGAGCTATTTCTAGAATATCATTGAGGTTCCAATTCACAGTATTTAGAAACTTAATTATATTTTTCCTCTTCAGTAAAATTTAGGTGATGCAATTTTATATCTCCATCAACAGATACTATTTACTGAAATATAATTCAAAAACAATATTACCATTCATGATAATTTCTCAAATTTCTTGAGTTACTGAGAAAAATGTCTTATATGAATGTTCTCATCTAGCCTCACAAACAACCCCTATAAGGTAGATATTATTATCTCATTTTACAGGTAGGGAACTGAGGCCTAGCGGGTTTAGACAGCTTATTCAGGAACACACAGCTACTATTAGTAATAGTTACTAATGAACTATTAGTAACTCCCCAGGATTGTGTTTCTTCATGTCTTTATATAGAATGATTGAATGGAGAATATTGAAAAACAGAGAGAAAGAAATAGTTACTAATAGTAACTATAAGTGTGTTCTAGATACACTTTATTTCATTGGAAGCAACCTTTGCAAAAATTCAATTACCAAGGAGTCACTGAAGTTGCCTAAGTTTGCACAACTGGTAAGTAACAGAGCTACCCAAGCAGACGGATTCCAGAGCCGGACATTTTCAGTCATCTTCCTATCCTCCCAACACATCTCAGAACAATATTTGTACATGGCAGTGCATCTGGAATCATAGAACGACAGCAGCTTGCAACTTTTCACTTCTACATTACGAAATATCCACTCTACCAGCAAGATGAATTTTGAAAGCAAAATTTAATCACACTTCCTCTCTTCCATAGGAAGAAATATTTCCCAAGGCTCATTCTGTCCTAGTCAGTTTCTTAGTGTGCTGTATCAGGCTCCTCCTAATAGGATCCCATTATACTCGTTAGCCTCATGGGTCCAGATCATGTCACTTCCTCTGGGAACTTGTAAAACTAAACTCAATCAGTAACTCATTCATTCCTATATTGCTTCTGTGGCCTCCAACACTGATTTAACAGCACTAAATGACATTTACTACAACTATTGATTTAGAGCATTCCTTCCACTTCTCTAAGCACCTGAAAAACAGGTTCCTCTAGTACATGCCATAATGTCTTGTCATGAGTAGGTTTGATTTAAAAAGTTCTTGAATCAGTTAACAGTGATTTATGTCATGACTGTGATGAGAGATTTATGCTGTAATTGAGGAAATAAAACTAAGACACTGGGAAATGCAATAGTACTGTAATTAATGCAAACAAGGGTAAAGAGGAACTTGAATTTATTATTAAATTTTTTAAAATTATTTAACCAAAGTAATTGTTCATTTTATTATGTAACCATCAGTTCCTTTTTAAACTACTGCTATCAAAACTAAATATTTTCTTCCTTTTTGATAAACTGTTAAATACTCATTTTTAGTCTTCCTTTTACTTAAACTCTCTGCAGTATTTGTTATTTGTTGTTTTTAACACTCACAGTCATCATCACTGACTTTTCCAATACTCTTGAACTTATTGTCTCTTCCATTATTCTGATTTTCCATTACTCTTGACTTTATTGTCTCTTGATGCCCTTGAGGTCTCTCTCCCAGATTCCTGCTTCTACCACTCTCTGCTGTTCATCCCTAGTAGCTCCTTTTGGAATCTTTCATTCTTCTTGCTCCTCAGGTCCTGATATTCCCTCAGATTTTCTCCTTGACACTGTATTCTTCTGTTCATTCATCTTTTCATTTTACATTCCCTCCCTCAGTGATCTCACACACTCCCATACATTTTAGTTACTATCCATTTATTTTACTTAATGACTTAGGTACCTCATCTACTTTATTTATTTATTTAATTACTATGCCAGTAATTCCCACAAATATGTGTAGCCTAACCCACATCCTGCATATACAGGTGTCTTTGGACAGCTCCAAATGCATGTCCCTCCTTCTACAGACCCCTTAAACTCAAACTCAATTCATCACCTTTCCTGTCCCTTCTATAGTTTCTGTCTCAGTTAAACAGCAGTACCATCCACATTACGTCAGACAGAACCTAGTCAACCTACCACCGAGGTCCCTTTCCTTGTCTCCTCACATGTAACCAATCACTGATTATCTAAACTCCATCGCCTCGACATCTTTCATATCTGATTCTTTTTCCTCGTTTTTACTATACTGCCTCAGTTCAGGTTCTTTTACTCTTGTACCCGACTAGTGAAAAAATTTGGTATCGGCACATCCAGTTTCATATACTTTCAACCTATCCTTTCCATTGCAGCCTGGAAGGTCTTCCCCAAATGCAAAATTCTGTTTCTCCCTATCCAAATCCTGCATTGACCTCATTTTAAATATTGAATAGAATTAAAATAGAGCAGCATGCCCGAAAATCCCTCCTTAACTTGCCAGACTTACCCCCTTGCCAAGTTTCCCTCCTCCAACTCTACACCTATGCCATACATATTGCTTATAGTTCTCTAAAAATACAAAGCTACTGAAAACCTTCATGACTTTCCCTTCATATGTTTCTCTGTCTGTAGTGTTCCCCAGCCTCTCAAACATCCTCACTCCTGATTCCACATTATGTGGAAGATCTTAAAATTAACTCCATTCCACAGTCGCTCCTCCTGTTAAGCCTTTCCTAAGCTCCTCTACTTAATTAGGTAGACATAACCAAGCTCTCGGCTGTACTGTACATGCTTCTGCCATAACACCTTATTATACTTATTCCTCAGTTGAGAATTGTATTAGACTTTCAATTTCCTTATGAACAGGGACCATATCACATTGGACATTATATCCTCAGTACTAGGATAACATGACCCCAAACATAAGTTTGTGAAAAATATATGAGCTTGTTGTCTTTCATTTTCACTATCTTAATTGTTTGGCATTTTTACTATCTTGTTTGTCATTTGTAAACACAAACATAGTTGTTATGTCAATTGTTATTGACAAAAGTCTAGAAATTAAATGAATGTGATTTGTATTAATTCTAAAAAATAAAAGTTGCCAGCTCTTAATGGTGTCACATCAGTATGTTGAATCTGAATCCTCCACACTGCCAAAAATTTCTGAGTGATTTCTGCTGTTATTTTTATCAGCGAAGGTATATCAGATATGTTTATCTAAGAAATAATTATACTTCTATGATGGCATTCCCCTGAATGTTTGTATTACCATAAAAAGATGAAAACAAGATCTCATATATGTTGCGTAAGATAACTATTTCCAGATGATTTCCTCCAACACAATTCTTTGTAATCTCTACTCCCACTGTTTCAATTTCCATTTCTTACAAAGAAGCTCCCAGATGTTGCAGCTAGTGTTTTATCTTGCTCCACGTCCCTCTCCACCCTTCAACCTCAGCAGAACTTATTTGTACATGCTGTTCCTGATTATGCTGATCACTAATCTTTGAGAGGCTTCTGGCTCCAGTCAAAGGTGGAAAATGAAGTTATATACAAGCTACTCAAAACCACAGCCCTACAAATGGACTTTTCCTAAGATTTTTGGAGGAAAACACTTTGTATCCTATTACACATATCCTGTGGCTACAGAAGCTGACATCCCTACTTTGTCACTTAGCTTCATTTCAAAGAGGTTGGAAATCCCCAGTGTCCCTTAACAGCTTACTGGGTAGTTTAGTTTAAAAACAACAACAACAAAAAAAGAGCCATATTAGTAGGTCTCAGGTGGAGAGTCATTTAATAAATAGAAAGTGAATGGAGGGTTTAGTAGGAGAAAGGAAGGAAAACTAAAAGTTATTCGATAAAGAAATAAGGAACAGGATCTTTTTTTAAAATATTTTAAATGTATATCCAAATTTACAAAGGCGAAGAAAACGATGATATAATCAGAGGGAAAGGACATATTAAAATACAGGCACTGAATGAAAGCTAAAATGTGGGATTCCTTTCAACATTTCATTTCTTGAGAATTCCTCAAGTGTTCCTTTCAGCAATTTTGTGTCAGTCTACATCAGTTCAGACAGACACTCAAATATTTTACATAATTTATCATTCTCAGTACTCACAACCACCTTGTAAAGGAAGTTTTATTACTTCTATTTAATATTAATTCAAATTAACATGAATTAATATACTTAAAGCATTTAAAACACTGCCAGCACATAATGAGCCCTTTATACATGTTTGTGGCCATTAATATTTTATAAATAAAGAGTGTGATGCTACCAGGATACTTAAATAACTCATCCAAGGTTACACAGAAGGAAAGTGGCGTACCTGGGTTAGGACCTAGAACCTAGTCCTGTGTATATTACCATGTGAGTCCTTTTCACTAGAACTGAAGTCATATTTTAGCTTTAGATTGGCTGAGTGGCCCAGGAAATAAAATCCTTCTCTAACTGTGTGAATTATGGAACTGAATAGAACTGGAAAAAAAAAATCACTACTATGTCACAGGAATTGGAAATAAAGTTATAAGATAGAAGTTAAATGTACAAATTTCTAGGAGGGATAGCTCATCTCACACATTTCACAAGGGCTCTGGTCTATCTGGACTCCAGGAGACAGGGTACCTGTGCGCCGGGGCTCTGGACGCCGAGCTGTGGCAGAGGCTTGAGAATGCAGGCTCATGGTGGTGTCTCCATCATCATCCAGCATGTCCCTCGTGCTGCTGTACTTGGGCTGCATCTGGATTCCTACAGCGGTGAGAGTGAAATATGGTGGGATTGCCCTGGGCCGCCTGGCTACTGTGAGCTCGTTCAGGAAGCAAGGCACTGAAAGGCATTCCTAATGTTCTTTCCCAGCAAGTAGCAGAGGAAGTCTCCGACTGCAGTTCCTGACTGGACAGGCCCAGCCCCTCTGCTGTGAGCTTGTACTCAGGCTGAGGGGAAACAGCATGTGTTTTCGGTTTAGGCAGTCTCTGTCTAAACAGTTATCAAAAAGTTGGCCTTTCTCAGGTCTTTTTTGTTTACCTGTTTGCATTTCTCATGTAACTTCAGTGTAAAGAAGGCAAGAACTTACAATAGCATGGTGTAGCCCTGTGGTTCCTTCAGAGCATGCGGAATAATAATAACTTGGAAGGACACGCATCCTCATTTCTTACCCATCCTTTAGGGAGTCACTTAGTTTAACCTCTCTGTGCCTTTGTGAAAAGAGAAGAGATTATAGGATCTAGCCCCTTCCTTTCTCCAAGAACAGAGTAGTGATCATTCTTATAGTATCTGAACTTGATGTAACATTTTATAGCACATTTGGTACATTATGATCATGAGGAATTATACATTTTACTGGAAGTAAAAACTTTTAAAACTATTACTAACGACCATGTGGTTTGCAGAAGCCAGTTAGTTTGTGCCTAAATCTCCTAAACTGAGAGGAAAATATTTTAGGTAATGTGAAAAAAATTCTTCCTGAATCAGTACATTAGAATTAGTCTGTTTGTGCTGACCTGCAACAGGATACCTGAGACCAGATAAATTACAAGCAATAGAAATGTATTTCTCAGCATTCCAGAAGCTGGGAAATCTAAGATCAAGGCACTGGCAGGTTTGGATGTCAGGAGAGAGCTGCACTCTCTGTAGTGGAGGAAGGCTATTCTCACGTGGCAGAAAGCAGAAGGACAAGCCAGCCAAATGCTACATGTAGCCTCTTTTTTTTTTTTTTTTTTTTTTTTTTTGAGACTGAGTCTGGCTCTGTCGCCCAGGCTGGAGTGCAGTGGCCGGATCTCAGCTCACTGCAAGCTCCGCCTCCCGGGTTTACGCCATTCTCCTGCCTCAGCCTCCGGAGTAGCTGGGACCACAGGCGCCCGCCACCTCGCCCGGCTAGTTTTTTGTATTTTTTAGTAGAGACGGGGTTTCACCGTGTTAGCTAGGATGGTCTCGATCTCCTGATCTTGTGATCCGCCCGTCTCAGCCTCCCAAAGTGCTGGGATTACAGGCTTGAGCCACCGTGCCCGGCTATGTAGCCTCTTTTATAAAGGTCTTAATACCATCCTCAAGAGAGAAGCCTTCAAGGCCAAACCATCTCTTAAAGGCCCCACCTCTCTCAATACTACCACACTGGCAAGGCCTGAATCGTGCAAAAAACACATTCAAACCATAGTAAGATAGTTATCAGTAACAACCTTGTGGCTTTGGGAGGACAATTAACAATTTGCGTCTGCATTTCCTAAACTGAAAGACAAGAAGATTGTTTTAGATAATGTCTAAAAGTTCTTCCTGAATCTGTACAATAGGCTTATATTACTCTACCAAAACTTTTCCAGATGTTAAGTGATAGATGGGCAAAATCAAACATGCTAAATATAAAGGAGTGTCAGAATGCTCCAGGTGGGGTAGCCAGACCATCTAAAAGATCTATGAGGAAGTGCATATTGTGGATTCACATGTGTTTTAAGCTGTGTGTTGTTCATCAAATTATTCTAAATTTTTTAAAAACAGGATTTTTTTTTTTAGATGACAGATTGGAGGCAGTGTTAGCATGACTCTACCACTTGGAAGGATAAAATAGTGAGTAAAAAACTCTCACTGTGGGCCAGGCATGGTGGCTCACACCTTTAACCCCAGCACTTCGGGAGGCCGAGGTGGGTGGATCACCTGAGGTCAGGAGATGGAGACCAGCCTGACCAACATGGCAAAACCTCGTCTCTACTAAAAATATGAAAATTAGCCAAGTGTGGTGGCGGGTGCCTATAATCCCAGCTACTGGGGAGGCAAGAGGTAGGAGAATCACTTGAACCCAGGAGGCAGAGGTTGCACTGAGCCAAGATCGTGCCACTGCACTCCAGGCTGGGCGACAGAGCGAGACTCCATCTAAAAAATAAAAATAAAAATTCTCACTGTGTACATTTTTCCAAGAAGCAATGCAGGAACTGAACAGGAAAACTGAAAGAATCCATAGACTCTTTGAAAAAAGCAGCAGGTTACATCCCACGCCGTCAGTTAGGTGAAAAACTGTAAGCCCCCAGGGTGTGAGAGGTGAAGAGACTGGCTCCAGGATACAAACCCCCACTGGGGAACCTGAAAGTCCATGCCATGGGGGAAGGCCTTAACCCTTCCCAGCACTGGAACCAATTAAAAGAGCAGTGAGGAACATAAAAGTAACAGCAGCAGCAGGAAGAGGCCTGTGTGTATTCCCAGTCTCCAGCATGAACCAAGGGAAGCTATTCCTTATTACACCTCACAGACAACCTCGTGGAACTCAGCCAACTAGCTCAGCCAGGGGATGCACATTGTAAAAACTCCCAACTGAAATTCACAATATAACCTCAAGAGAAGATGAACTCCCTTGGCCAGAACCAGAAAGATGAGTGGGAAATGTGTTGCAGCCACGAGTGCAGGATCTGGGTGCCAGCTGTGTGGGTGAACAGAGTATGGCATGGCCCGAAAGCCAGCAGTTGCTATCACCATGGCAATTTGGTGTGAGCTCTGAGTGCACACTGCCTGGAACTTAGCTCACTGCTGCTAGCAGAGTACTGCAGGAGCCAGATCTGCCTTGTCAACTGTGTGAAATCTGGGTTAGGCTTACTGCTGCCTGCTACTCCCCACTCCCTGTGCAAACACATCTCCGACAGGGACCGCTGCTTGCCATGCACATGGTGACTCAGAGTGCAGACCCACCTAACACAGCCCTCGTCTGGCTTTGCCCCTCCACCCACCGTGGTAGCTTAATACAAAGGACAGAAACCCTGGGGAGGTTTATAGCCCCATCCATCACCTGAGAAGCCAGACTACCTACCCTGGGCAACATAAGGCAAGCACAAATCCCACTGCTACTACCACACCTGGTACTCTCTTGCAAATGCCACCCAGTAGCTGGAAGGCTACCAACACAGTCCATTACAGCATCTGTAGGTGGAATAACACTGCACTCAGGAAGGACAAAACTACTGTATGACCTCAGCTATTACCACTTCCTGCACCACCCTATCTAACCAGGAGGTCCTGAGTCTATCCACATGACCAGTTTATTACTACTTGAACCAGCATTCAAGAAAGACAACGCACTAAAGTTATCTATAATCAAGGAATCTCACAGAGTCTATGTCACGCCTCTGGCACCCCCATCAGACCTGGTGCTGATACCTGCTGTTGAAAAACTGGAGGACAGGTCATGTCACTGGATCCTTAGCAGACATCTCCCAGCACTAATCTGGAGCCACTGAGTGGCTAGACCCAGAGGAGAAGCAGCACTCATAGTAGTCTGTCTGTCAGGAACTTCTACGGAAAGGGAGAGTGCGCCACATCAAGGGAACACCCGGTGTGACCAAAGAATCCAGATGGCAGGTCTTGAGGATTAGATTGTTCCACTGGTGGGAAGTTTCTTTCAATAGAGGCAGAATTGAAGTGCTGGGTTCAGTAGGGAATGTCTACAGCTGTCCCAACAGTCAGACAGCCCTGATGCTTATCAAGGATCTTGGAGAAAGGGACTTCTTACCAACCTCGTCCACCACTGCAGACACAGCTGGGTCTTCTCCCACAAGAGCTCAGCATGGGTGCACCCATAGACAGACTTTCTCGAACACTTCAGGGTGACCGCATCCCCACAGGAGAAGCACCCTCCAGTTTCAGGCTTACATAAGAGGCAGAGTCACAATTGTCTACTTGGAACATTAACATTCCAACAGATGAAAAGAGAGGCCTGTCTGATCTGAATAGCCAGAATGTTGGGACAGGTGTGTGTCTGGGAGATGGATAGCTTCCCTGCTGACCTGACAGGGGAGCCAAGGTGGCTACCACCCTTCCCCTGATAAGACTTCAGTGTGTCTCACTGACAACTCCCCCAGCCCCCTTTGTCAAGGTTGAGACCTCTGCCCACCATTGGGTATTGCATTTACCCACCTTCTTTAGCCACAACTGGTTCCTACCTGGGAACACCTCCACTACTGGCCTGAAGCCTGAACCATCAACCCAGTGAATGAAATACTGGGGAAAAGTTAAAAAGTTTAAAAGTGCATACCACACTGGAATGAGATAAGCTTCCAGACACAGTAAGTTTGCTCACACACTGAGTACATTACTGCTATGTCTAGCATCTGAGAAAGCCATCATACAAAGTTTCTCTATAACCAAGGAAATCATACAGACTTTTCAACCCTAAAAGCACCAAGAACCAAATTAGGCTATAACAAACAATAAACATTAAAGTCAAACCCTTAAGAAGGAAAATAAGAAATAAAATCACACAGTCAAATCAAAAATAAATTTAAGAATAATTAGAAGAAACAGTCTACCCAAATGAGGAAAACTAATTCTGTTAATATGATAAAATAGGGTTCTATAACACCTCCCAAAAGATCACATTAGCCCTCAAGAAATGAAGCCAAACTAAGACAAAATTTTAGAAATAGCAAATGAAGACTTTAGAATGTTGTATAAGAGCTACTCAAGGAGATACCAGAGAAAGGTGAAAACCAACATAAAGAAATTTAAAAGAAAAAAATTCAGATTACAAAAGAAAAATTTTCTAGAGAGCTAAATATCATAAAAAAGGAACTTCTGGAAATGAAAGATACATTTAGGGAATTACAAAATGCAGTGGAAAGTATTAACAAAAGACTAGAATAAGTAGAAGAAAGAATTTCAGAATTCAAAGATGAGGCTTTCAAATTAAGCCAATCAGACAAAAATGAAGAAAAAATAATCAAATGAACAAAGTCTCCAAGAAATACGGTAGTATGTAAAACAGCCAAATCTAAGAATAATTGGTGTTCCTGAGGGAAGAAGAGAAAAAAAAAGTTTGGAAAACTTATTTGAAGGAATAATTGAGGAAAACTTCCC